CAATTACTGAAAAGACATGTTTTGAGACCAAAAAAAACGTTAAATTCCAACATGTCCCACCTTTCCAAAACCCACTTGAAATAACTGATTTTGGTAATAGTATGCGCTGGGCTTACTGGAAACACATGTTTTGGAGCAAAAATTAGAATTTAATTCCAATATGTCACATCATATTCAAACTTGTCATACACATCCCAAAATTTTTGCTTGAAACTAGTGCATTTGGCAAAAGAATGGGCCCAAATTGCTAAAAAACAAAGCTTTCGGACGAAAAAAATGCCATTTTCAATCATTCATACAGCCACAACCCTTTGTGCTATAACAGCATTGCTGATAAGGAGCATGGAACTGATGGAAGCAAAAAAAGCAAAGGAAACTTGCACACACTCGTATTCATGAATAGTACCGCGCAAGGCGGTGGCGGAAGTTTCAACCAAAAACCGCAGACCCCCAACAAAGGGAGCAGAGGAAGGCAAAGCACATTGGTCACACAAAGCGCTGGCCAAGCACAGCTGTAAACGCAACACTTTGGTCGCACCACCGCCTTGCAGAAGGGACCCGGTAGGATTTGCACCTCCGACCTTCGGTGCACCTCCGCCAGATTGCCCGGCTTCGATGCCATATGTCGACGTCATAACCACTAGACCACAGGGCCCGGTACTTCCCGTACGACGCCGGGTTCCACATCGCTAATGGGCCCCCCCCGGGGGCGGAGAAGGAAGATGTAAGCAGTGTGGCGCTGACGGTGCTGGTTGGCTGCTCCTGCTGCGCGGCTGTTGCTGCTGCTGGGCTTCTCCTGGGCTGCTGCTGGGTGCTCTGCTGGCTGCTTGGCTCTTTGCTGGTTCCTGGGCTGGTGGTTGCTTTGGTGGCTGCCCTGCTGCTCGGCTCTGCTGGGTTGCGGGGACAAGGAAAAAGGGACTAGGGAAAGGGAGGCAAGGATGCCAGTAAGTGTTTACTCAGCCAGAGAGCAAATGTCGAACAAATGGGCAAATGTCGAACAAATGAAAAATGTCGAACAAATGGCCACCAGAACGGCAAACGTCAAACTTGAAATGAAATGTTAGACAAACGCATGTCCAGGTCAAATGTGAGTCAATCTGGAGACATGAGTACCAACGTTGGCCGCATGTCTTCCTCGCCCCCAAAGGGAGAGCAAACGATCAAAATGCATGGAACGTGAAAGAGGCGAGCAATCGCATGGCATTGCTGTTCAAGATCATGTTCCACTGTGCCCGATATGGACGTCGTGTACGTGAACAAGTCTTGGCGTTCGGGATCAACAAGGACATTGATCGCAGCAGCCTGACATGCATTGACAACAACGTCAACGCGGACACGCATATTCCCGACGAGGGGCTATTGCTCTATCCAGTTGCAGTTCGCGCTCCAACGGGGCACAAGGAAGGATCCTCCAGAGACGACGTCTTGTTGATGTCATCATTGCTCTCGCATCCGATCGCGCCCAATACCATCATGTCATTGCCGGTGTGCTTCCACATCACGAAGAAGACCAACCTCCGAAGCATTTGGAGGGAAGGACTAATTCCGGGAGGTCTTGGAGAAGGTCATCGTATGTTCACGTTCTTCAATCCATACGTGCCGTGGGATCATAGATCATGGACTATCACGAAGAGCGTTGACACGCGAAAGGGGGACTACATCTGCCTCTTCATCCCGACCGAGACCCTGATGGTGGAGTACGGTGGTCGATTGACGGATTCGGGACAGATCGTTTCGCCAAAGATCATCCCGTTCTCAGCGATCAGAGGAGGATGGATTCAAGATCCAAAGGATCAAAACAACAAGACATGGCTCCGGTTGTTCGTTCCGTCGGGCGACGACCAGGTAGTCCGGTCAGGCACTGTCAAGTCAAGAACTGTCGCCACCAAGGAGTCCATTCTGAGGATCGCAAGTCAATGCATCGACGCCGAAAAGCAACCGTATGACGAGATCACCATGGATGCAATGAACATCGTCCACCAATTCAGGAACAATCTCATTGAAGCTGGTGGACAAGAACAATACCTCGCCCGCATCAAGCTGATCGACTACATCGTCGAGCGCAAGAGGGTGGAAACTTCAGGTTGCCGTCATTGCCCTCATTGCCTCAATGAGACGCCGACGAAGTTGGCAGTATGTCTAGGTTGCTGGACAGAGCTTGAGAGCTGTGGGATTCGACCATATAGACTACAAGCTCCTGAAGACGATGAAGACGAAGCCACAAAGAAGGAGCTCGATGAGGAGGTTCGCCGACAGGAAGAATCGTTGTTCGAGGATACGGTCCACCAAGCACAGGAAAACGTACCTGAATCCAACGATTATGGCTTCAATCCTGACGAGGTCGACTACAACGAAGGCGATGACGAGGAAATGGCTCAGGAGGAAGAGACTCAGCAGGAAGACGATGAGATCGTCGAAGAGGACGACGATGATGACATGAACGTCGAACCTGAGAATGAGCCTTCATCCAACCTGCCAGCATGGACCAAGAATCTTGTGCCTGGAGGCAAGGGCTTGCCAGGAGATGGTCTAGTAAACAATGATGTCTCCGAGGCCGCGGCTCACTTGTACGACAATGCCGTGATGTCAAAGATCATCGCAATGTTCAGACTCTACTACAACCAGAGAGTCACTTTGACCCCAGAGGACTACTATGCGTTGATGACAGCTACCAAGCGAGTCCGACTGGACCTGGACGACTTCTGCCCCTACACGGGCGAAGATCAGGACGGCAAACTCAAGCGACCGACTGAGCAGGAATTGGACGCACTCTTCAAGGAGAAAGGGAAGAAGAACTCATGGTCAGAGGGAGAATTGATGTACTCTGGGCGGCCGAGAAATATGATGATGCCTGTCATCAAAACTCTAGAAGTCTACGAAAAGATGATGGAGTTTCTCATCTGTGCCGGGTACACTCCCGAGTCCTTAGGTTTCCTCATGCCAATGACGAAGATGCAGGGAGATGCAAAGGAGAAGCAGGAGATGAGGGTGACCATTAGCAACTTTCTCCGACGATTGATGAAGGGAACCTTTCCCGAATATGAATCATACACCTTCTTCCGTTCCGGGAGCCACGGCTTCCCCAACTGCATTGAACTCCCAGCTTTCTCGGTATATCTGAGTCTGAGAGAAAAGGAGCAAAGGGTGGAACTACTCTTCGCTGCCCAACAATGCGGTATTCCATTACCTCGCAACTTTATCAGCAAGATGGCTTACGCCATTCAACTCGCTGAGTCCGAGGCGATGAGGGGAAAGTCCGAAATGAAAATGAAGATGGCTCCGAATCTGGGGGACGAAGTGGTGAGTGAAGTATTCAAAGCAGTCGGGGACAGTGCTAGCACCAAGCGTGCCACCGCAGACGCGAAAGCCAGATCATCAACACAGCCTTCACAGAAACCTGAAGATACTGGTTCAGCGTCATCATCTTCGGCCAGTGCACCAAAGGCTAAGGCTATGCCGAGGTCTTATGAACCATCTAAAGCACCACCTGCGAAGCCTCCATCGCCGAAAGCTGCTCCGAAACGTGCGGCAGGTTGGGAGAAATCTCAAACAACACCTCAATGGAAGAAAGTCCGCCGTGAGGAGTAAATCAACCACCTCTGTCCATCCAAGTGATCACTGGACTATAAGATGTGTATCGTCTTTGTGAACAGATGATCAGAAAAAGACCAACTGAGAGGACTCTGAGCGAGGCAGTAGACTAATTCGCTTAGGTTCCATCTTTTCACTATTCCCAATCTGCACGATTTTTTTTAGCAATGTGCACGTAAATTCGCTAATTAGCGTCAATAGCTATTCTTGGTGGAGCAGTCAACTTCCGTCGTCGATGGAGTGACTTGCAAAGCCGTAATCGTAGAGTGGCTGCAAGCTAGCGACATTTAACGATGTACAGCTCGAACCTGCGCCAATGCATTGCATGCCATAGAGTAGGCAATCCCGGATCCACTACGCTCGTCGGGCGTGGGTGAAGGGAGAGCCGAATGGAAAATGCGTGTACAAAGGCGCAATTCGATGCAATTCGTGCATTACAAAGAATTTAATTCAAAGTTCCCACTCTCGTGCCTACGGTTCGAAGATGCCGTAGGCATGGGGGGTGCGAAAGGGAACTAGACCACACAGTCACTCAACATGCAGAGCATGTAGGGTAGGAAACAATTATGCATGTACCGCCAATTACATTGGCTCAAGATCATGCGTGAGTAAAAAGATCGGTCTCCGAGTGCCATGCCGTGACGTTGCCCAGCATTTCCAGCACAAAGGGTACTTCAATCAAAAGGGATAATCCAGAACAAGGATCAAATTGTTCACATAAAGACTATATATATAGAATAAGAATATATATATATAGAATATATATATAGAATATATATATATAGAATATATATATATATAATATATATATATAGAATATATATAGAATATATATATATATATATAATATAGAATATATATATATAGAACATATATAGAATATATATATATATATAGAACATATATAGAATAGATATATATATATATATATTATAGAATGTATATTAAAGAATATAGATTATTGAATATATATATATTATAGAATATCTATTATTGAATATATATATATTATTGAACAAATATATATATATTATAATGTATATTATAGAATATATATCATAGAATATATATTATAGAATATATATATATATTATATATAGAATATATATATATATTATAGAATGTATATTATAGAATATAGATTATTGAATATATATATATATTATAGAATATATATATAGAATATATATAGAATATATATATATATTATAGAATGTATATTATAGAATATAGATTATTGAATATATATATAGATTATAGAATATCTATTATTGAATATATATATATATTATTGAACATATATATATTATAGAATATATATATATATATATGATATAATATTTATTCCCCATGTCTTCCCTATGTCTTCCCGACATTTTCTATCCAGCCACTGGCCTGGCGCCCCCTAGGCTGAAGCCTCTGCTGGAGAAGTTGCGCAGCCTGGTGGGGCTGAAGAGTGTCAAGGAGGTGGGCTGTTTTTTTTTGGTGGCTAAGCGTGAAAATAGGATACCCCGTGGTAAATTAACAGTTAGACCCTGAAAATTACCAATTTATAGTGGAAACTAGTCTTCCAAGCCCTATCTGGCAGGGTCTATGTTAATTTACTGGAGGGTATATGTATATATAATTATATATATATATGTATATTATATGTAAATATATAGGATAGTTTTTTTTGCTGATATATGCTTATAATATGTATATATATAGTTATCATTAATTATCCGATATTAGATACTGTAGGGTTAATAATCATTGGATTTATAACCATTATGGGGTTATAGGATGTGGTAACTCTATGAAACACGGATTTATAACCAACAAAAATTTGGCTGTGTCTGACAATGAGCAACGATTATAGCGATGATATACAGGATACACTATATAGACTATATATATATATATATATGTCCTTTATACGGGTGGATGATAGCAACTTCTTATAGGGCTACAGGAATATATATATATAATTATATATATATAGTTATATATATATAAATACACGTAATATTACGGCAAGACCCTATGGTTTGCCCGCAAGGTTAGAATGGAGTTCAAATATTATCCTTCGACATACCCGAAAGCCCGCGCAGGGCCAATGTTTTGGTATTTACCAGACGACGAACCCTAAACCCTAAAACCCTAAAACCCTGAAAACTCTGAATCCGAAAGCAGAAAACCCTACGTATACGTAGTGTTTTCTGCAATTTCTCTTCTCACGTTCGACGACAGGGAATCCTCAATGTTGCAGTCCGGGTAAACCACGGGGTCTGTGCGTAATATTAGATAGGGATTATAGGGTACAGGGATTACCCTCTGGTTATTTAACATAGCCATGGAAAATGGCCCATTTATAGATGGTTTACCTATTAAAAATGGTGATTTTCCATGGCTATGTTAAATAACCAGATGGTATATAAGATGGTCTTTATTTCAGCAACGCTACCAGATACCAACGGCGATGGTATCTACAACCAACACATATCACTCAGCAACGGCATCGTTGAATCCAAGGGCCAGCTGTTTGTTCGTTGATTCGTTGGACCAGCTGTTTTAAGGCCGGAGTTGTGCCAGAGATTAGACCAGAGATTAGACCATGATTACCATGATTCATGCAGAATTCTTACAACATCAGTTATCAAGCAGATACCAGTATGATTAATTCTGATGCATACCGATGATATCAGGGGAAACATGAGTACAATCCAGCCCCCAAAAAAGGGATCATATGTACATCTCCCAAAAAAACTTTGGGACTTAACCTCAAAAATCCAGCCAATCTTGAGAGATATCCATAAAGATACTGTGGTTGCGAAATCCTGCACCACCAAAAGGATGGTTGAAACCGAAACCCTATAAGTAATGGGATAATGATAGAACTGGGATCCTTTTTTTTGGGATAAACATGGGATGTTTACCACTCATCAACTGCAGAGTCTTTAACCGCAACCATCCACTGTGTTCCACTGGATCAATGGCCATTTCAGGAACCTAAATTGGAGGTACCTACCATATATAAGGCCTATTTTTCAGGCCTAAATTTCAGGGAATATCCCCACAAAATAACGTACCTCCATCTGTTGGATCCTGGAGATCTCCCATTGAATGGAGATTCACCTGCCATGCGTTCCGCAGCATAGCCAGGCCATGGGTCAACTCTTTGGACTGGTGAAGCTGAGTCTCTGGCGGGAACAGCTGGGCATGTGCCTGGGCGAAGCGGTGGGCGATGCGGGTTGCGAAGGGTGAGGCGGTAGGGGGTGTGGGGTGAAACCACAGGTAGGTGGGGCTTGGAACAGAGAAAACACACTAATATCAAGTATTTTTTTTTCGAGGATCTGAGTCGATGGATGGGTTTTGAGGGATTTATTTTTTTACAGGAAACCATCAATTTAAATAAATTTAAATGTTCCCATTGAAATCATGGGGCTTTCCGGTCAACATTTTCCCGGAAAAACCCACTCCATTGAGAAGATCGAGTTTGACGATCATTTTTCAGCCGGGATTGGCCATGTAAATGGTGGATTTTGGCCAAATTCGCCAAATTACACACGATTGGGAACATCCTGGAGCTGTTATTTTACAGGGGAGCTGTACTAGCCTTTGTATATCAAGGATGATCACAATTCAACTGGGACTCCCCATGTTTGATCTTTCTCTGATGCTCGAGGTTGCATTTGTGTCGATAGGATCCCTGGTTATGTTGGTGATCTGTGTCAAATTCCTATGAGCAGTGTCCAAAACCAGTTGGGAAACTCCCGAGACCTTGATTGGTTAGAGTAATTGACTTAGATAAGTTATGAGTCCAGGAAAAACAATTGGGGTCTTGCCAACGGCATCTAATAAGCCAAAGCTGCCAAAGATGGTGGTTGGAACTAAGTTGGGAATCTAGTCAACCCGCATCTTTCACAGAAAAAAACTGGCTTTGGTCCTGCACTGAAATCATCAGATGAAAATGAGCTGTCACTGTGTAAAACGCGAACACGGACCAATTTTTGGAATCCATTGTTCAAATGTTTTTGAAAGCAAACAAATGCGTTTCGCCACAGTGCCAAACTCTTTGGAACACAAATCATCCATTTTAGTAGGATTTTCCATGAAATAAACCATCCATCTATTGGGGTACCCCCATTTTAGGAAACCCCCATGTCTTCAATAGTGCTATTTCCTTCGACGGAAAGCAAGCATCGAAACCAAAGCGTGAAACAACACCAATTTGCAAGTACTTATGCATGCTATGATTAAGAATGGGGTAATCTCTTGCCCCTTCTGTTTCTTTTGGGCATATCAACTATATATATATATGTAGATATCGATGTGTATATTATATGTAATATATATATATGCTGCTATACGTTGAATGAAAACACAATTTGGGCTCTTAATAAGGACTCTCATGAAAGTTTGCATGGCCTAGACAGGTTGTGGTAGTAATACATCTATAGTTCGGCTGGGGATATGCCAAATCCAGATCCCGAGGAAAGGCTTGGGCGGCCAGTCGTTCCACATGCGCCGCCAGACTGCAATGAAGAGTAGGGGCCAGTGATGAATCCCAATCCGACACCACAGGATGGGGCCCCCGTTCGATAGCGTTCAGTTGCCTTATAAGTGGCTGAATTAGCTTGGTGTGCTACCGTTAAACTATGGAAATCACTATTTTCAATAGGTAAATCATCTGGAGAGGGCCATTTCCTATAGCTATGTAGAATTACCCACAGGACGAGGGTATGGCCCGGAGGGCCATACCCGAGAGCGGAGTTAGCAACCCATTGGTTCCATCATCCCAGTGCCAGGGGATTTCCTTGTCATAACAACAGTGACGTCTTACGCATACTTCTATTGGGGGTTTCATTCAGGGTTTACGTAAGTTATAAAATCCCCCCGGCCCCATGGAACATATACGCATACTTCTATTAGGGGTTTCATTTAGGGTTTACATAAGTTATAAAATCCCCCGGCCCAATGGAACATATACGCATGCTTCTATCAGGGGTTTCATTCAGGGTTTACGTAAGTTATATAATCTTCCGGCCCCATGGAACATATACGCATACTGCCGCATACTTCTATTAGGGGTTTCTTTCAAGGTTTACATAAGTTATAAATTCCGGACTCGCCAAAAAGGTGAAAAAGATTGAAAAAGTGGAAATGGCCGAAACGCGTGAAATCCGCAGAGGGTTCACTTTTCTGACTGATTTTTCCAACAATTCGTCTTAGACCACGCGAACCCACAGATGTACCAGAGTCATAAAACACTGCGGCTGCGCAGAGAAATGAGTCTCCCACTGACGATCATACGACCATTCCGGGACAACCCTAAGTCCTTCCCGTAGAATTAAATTAAAAGAATAGTTGGTGATTTCAATCATCAGTTTTCCGGTTTGTTGAAAGGTGCATTGTTTCGGTGCGATGATCCCTTTAATGATCAATCGCATATCATGGCATAGTTCCTGTACTGTTTTGTAATGGCAGGGTTAAAACTCTCAACTAGTGAGGTGGGTCTTTCCCTCATAGATTTGGGTTGCTTCATTTGATTTCTTAATTTCACGTCGAAGCAAGAGCCAGTTTGATTCGCATTCGCCAATGCCGGCCAATGCTAAGCAGGTCTTTTTGAGATACCTTATTCTTGTTTGATCCAATCTATATGGGGGTGGGTCAAAACCTATTATTATCAATTCTAATGGGATGAACATCCATTTACCAGCTATTTTGGGGTTCACTAGGGTACCAAGGTTTTGATTCATACCCATATTTGTTTGTTGGTTTGATTACTTTTGATGTTCCATCCCGGAATGATCATTGCAAAAAAGAGCGTTGCTGCTGAATTCCGGAGGGTTTTTCAACCACCGACCAGATTCGATTTACTACAGATTAATTACCATGAATGTTAAGCATCAAGAAATTATATATAGAAACAACTCAGAGAATAATTCATGATATATATTTACATAATTATCGCTGGTTCTTATATGTTTAAAATATGTTTCTAAAAAAAGTGTCCCGTATTTTCATGTATTTTCCGCACACTTGCCATGAGTTTCCACATATGTCCCCACATTTGTCTCATATGATCCCCATGTTTCCCCACATTGCCCCCCATGTTTTGCCACCATATTCACCATTTCCAGACAAATGCCCTCTGGTAATTTAACATAGCCATGGACGAAAGTCATGGCCCATTTAGTTCGATGATTTACCTATGGAACTGTGAGTTTAAAAGTAAGTCTAGATAAATCCAAACATGACAACTTTAGATTGCGGTTTCCTGAAATTTCGCCAACAAACTCTGAGTTTACGAGAGGGTAAATCGCCATTTCTGACCATTTTTCATGGTGACATCACCATTTTCAGGTCCCGAAAACAGCTCCCAGCTTGCCGTCGAGGCTTCTTGGGCAATCCTGGCACTGGCAAGACGGTCGTGGCGCGCATCGTGGGAGAGATGATGGTCGCCTTGGCGACAAAAATCAGTAGAAATCCATATGGGGGATTCCATACATGGGGACATCCCCAAATTTATGGTTTACAAATGGTAAATCTGATGAAAATATGGATTATTTGGATTTATTTGGGGGGTATCCCTATTTTCGGAAACCTCCATTTTTTGTGGGGATATTCCAGAATCAACTGGGGCATATGGCAGCCACTTACTGTGTGTGGAACGCACATCCAAAAAATATCAACTGGGGAAATCATAGCGACCGAAGCCGAAAGGAATGATGGTTAAACGGTTAGGATTCGGGGAATCACTATTGTAATTTAACCAAGATGTTAGAAAGGTGAAGTAACATGACCTTACTAACATGTTGGGAATCTTAGTAAACGGTTAGTTCCCAACATGACCTTATTTCGGATTGGTGAACTATTGCAATGTACCAAGATTGTGCTGGGGATTATAATCCGAGAACGGGGAATCACCAAAAATCCAACCAGGATTTTCCATGAAAGGGGGATGACTTGAACGCTGCGAAAAATTGGTGAAGTTGGCGTGTTTTCCCATCAAAACAGGACTCATCCTTGTAAGGTAAAGCTTACATCCATAGATCATTTCTGGGGAATAGAGTCGCATTGCCGCATGGATATGGATCAATACCATTCAATAGCTACTTAAAAAGTGACATTTTCGGTGTTTTTTTTGGTGATCATCCGCAAATCTCAGCGTGCTATTGGATGGTTTTGGGAGGTGAAAAAAACTGGGTCAGTTCTCCCATGGTTCTCCCGTTACGGGTGGCAACGGGATGGCCTGGCACCGTGCTGACTTCGGGGATTTCCCAGCGTGCACCACCGGGATTCGGCAACGCTTAGAAGGAACCACGTGGTTCACAGGTGACATGGAAACTGATCTAAAAAGGCTCCCAGGACCAACAATTGGATTGTTTTCATTAAACTTAATTAATGTATATTGTAGTTAGCCCATGTTAGCCCCCAAAAAGATGTCTAACATGTAATTCATCACTTTGCTTAGTGGGATTTTGCATTTCCATCTTTTTGCTGGTTGCGAAAATCCAGTAGAAATTGATCAGTTCCCGGTATGGAGTGCGAAGGCGTGCCAAAGCCTATTCCAGAGCCATGTTCAATATTCCGAAGCCACTCATGACATCTTATGACCACCGAAAATTTGGAATAACCGCCAGAATGTGGTAGGCTTTCGGCTAGCAACTTGTTGGATATAATTCGAGGAATGTTAGCCAAATTTTTCTTATCCGTTTTGCAGAGTAGGTTAGTCATGTACATGAAGACATCGTTCTTGACACAAGAAATCGGGCGATTGGTGGTGGTGTAATGTGGTCAGACCAATCATCAAGCATCCCCGATATAACGAAAAACGGAGACTGAAATCATCCACATTTAAACTGGACCCATGTTTGGGAACATCTTAGATCTTTTGGGGAATGATATGAAAAGAACCTGAAGATTTTATGTTTATCCGATCGATTTGGGGTTCCCGGCCATCTTTTCCCCCGCTGAGGTGAAGATGGGTGTGGTGGACATGCCCGATGACGTGAAAAAGAAGCTGAAGGAAGAGGTCCTCACAAGTGGTCCGGTCGGGGCGGTCGAAACTGCGGTGGTATTTTATCATGTTTTAGCAACAGAAATGGTGATTTAACCTACCAAAAGTGGATTTAGCTAAGTCGACGAGTTAGTTCCCAAGGTGAACTGCTGGGTTTATATGGTAGATCTATAATCAGATGATATCAGATGGGGGTTTCAATATAGGCTTACGACTGGTTTCACCTAATCGGTTTCAATATGTTTCAATACGTTTTGAAATTGATGGTCCAAGGATTTGAATGATGACTGGATGTAGCCCCATCTTAGGAAACATCCATATTAGGGGAAATAAAAAAAAGGATCCAAGATATCATGGTGATATGGGGAAGCTTCAATCATGGTGATCTGGGCCTTCATGGTTTGGTTTTTTCAGGATGATCATGGATGATCTATGCTGATCGAAGCAAACACACAAGCAGTATTTTGAATCATGGGAGTTAGCCAATGGGTTAACACATATAGATATGGGATGTGTTCAGGGGATGCTTCGGCATTTTTGGGTGCTATCTCATATTGGGAAGGGATTGGCAACCATGTACAGTCACAACCACGGATTAGTAGAATCCTATTGAATCAATGGTAAGTCACTTTTAGGAATTTATGGTAAGTCACTTTTGATAGACTTGTAAATTACATTTCTATTTTTTTAGGGCTACTATGATGTATGCCTATATCACCTAAATTCACTTTATAAATTTGTACACACCTTGTACCATGGATATCCGGAAAGCACATCCCCACAAGATGGTTCTTGTTTACCCCTACGTCCCGAACACCAATCCAATTGCCATGGGATCATTTAAATTGCCTTGGGATCCCCCAACAAAGATAGAACAAACAACATCCAGGATTGTTATTTTATATGTCAACAAAAATAAGATTGACCTCATAATTCCATAGAGTTCAACTCGCGTTCCAACTTTTATATATGTTCTTTTGGGGACTGCCAAACATCCAGAAAAAAAAACACCATCCAGGCCAAGATCCAGAGTATCCGGGAGGACCGAGAGGCGAAATCGGGAATAATCCCATGAAATGTACAGAGTTTAATAGGATTCCCAATAGTAACCTGGTTGGTGGTTTGGAACATTTTTGTTTTTCCATTCAGTTGGGAATTTCATAATCCCAACTGATTCATATTTTTCAGAGGAGTAGGTATACCACCAACCAGTAACCAAGTGGTTATAGATTAATAGATTAGATGGAAATGCTTCAATGATCGGGAGCATGGATGAACATGGTTTACAGTTCCCCAAAATGGCACGCACTTTATAGGAACGTATAATGATGATAAACATTTTTTTTTAAAATGTTTTGTGGTACCTATTTCGAGACAACCATCCATATAAGTTATATAATATCTATACCAGTGTTTTAAAGTAACAACTTATATTTGAAGTACAATTTACGGTTAACACATGTTAAAACCCTATTTTACGGGTGGTATGTTCACCTCAGTTTCTGCAACATGTCCGTGAAATTAATCCGTTGACTGAGTCAGCACTTGAACATTTTCCGAGAATGATTGATGCCATCAAACTGGCTGGAACATCAATTATAATGATGATAGAGGAACATCACCATAATAAGAACACTTGCTATCACCATAACTGGCTGTATAATGAAAATATGTCGATAATGGTCTGGTTGGTGGCTTGGAACATTTTTATTTTCCCCCATAGTTGGGATGATGATCCAATCTGACTAATATTTTTCAGGGGGGTTGAAACCACCAACCAGTGGTAACAAAAAAAACCATGGCCATTTTAAAGAGGCAGAAACTGCCTCCAGGCTGAAAAAAGGGGTCCTTGTTTGAGGAGTTGATTTTAAACCAAAGGGACGCAAATCTTCAATTCATATTTAGTCGGTTTAAAATAATAAACAAGAACAGTTAACATATAATGTTTAAACATTTTAGTTGAAAATCTAATATTTTAATGTTTTTAGTTTAGTTTATTGCTTCGGAACAGATAAAACACATGCCCTGCTTCTTCCTCATGCCCTGGTGGTTTCTCCAAAACAGCCGCAACGCGGCTTGAAAACACACCTTGTTCTCTGTTTCATCCAGATATTTCTGTGCGGATCATATCCCTTGGTGGTTTGAAGCCCCCATGTTTATTGGTTACCCTGGGGAAATTCAACCATGGCTAGCGGGGAAATCAAACATGGACATGAACATGGGAAGATCATCGAGAGATTGTGGAATTTCAATTGAACGTGTGTGATTACTAGATATGTAGACATGTCCCTTCATCATTTCAACATGTGTGCTTCTTGTATCCCCATTTTTGTCAATGCGCAAGTTCTGCATTTCACTACGTGACCCTCAAATCAGGCCTCATTTTGCTGGTTCAGAAGTTCAGATCCCAGTTATTTCTGTTGGAAACGTTCCCGTTTCCTCTCAGAACAGGGACCGTGGAATCTCGGAATCGAAGCCGCTAGGTGGGACTTCCATTGATCTTCAAAGAAGCCGCCAGGGTGGAACCTTGCCACCGTCGTGGCTTTTGATGGGGATTGTAGCATTGGAATGCATCGGATTTATGTGTCACTTTGTGTGGCAAGATAGATACCATGGAAAATTGGGATTCAACTAAGAAAGTGTGGCATCATAATAGTGATGATTTAGTAGTTTAATAATGTTTAATAATTGTAATTAAGATTAATTAAGTAATAAGGATTCATGAAGGTTCTTGCCACCAGCAAATACTCTTATACTACTGATAAGGGCAAATCCTAACCATCCATGATCAAGGAGTCACCTTTGGTTGGCTGGTTGAATCATGAAACTAGATTTTGCCAACCAATATGTTTCACTCTAAAAACAGAAGAACATGACATTTTATCAACAACTATTCTGCTGGTCCGGCCAACATTTGTGAAAAATAGATGCGGGTACCTTTGGTGCGGGTGCGAACTGCATGGGGTGACATTTGTGGGACAGCGAGGGATCATATCGATCACCTGTTTTTTAGCAGTTACCTGTCCTTTTCATTACTTTAGCAGTTTTCAAACCTTGGCATTGGTTGAATTGGTTGACGATTTTTTCGGGTTTTTCGGGTGTGGACCCACACAAAATTGGGATCCTGATGAAAAGCAACCATGAAAACTTGGGATTTTTCCATCATTCCCAGGAATGATGTGTTGACTTTCCAGCAATAATCACCAGATGTGCCGCTCTTTTGCCAATTTACTCATGAAATCCCATGAATTCCGAATTCCGATGATAACCTACTGACTTTGAATCCAATACTTCAATCCAAAATTTGAATCCATGACTTTTTCTTATCATACCCCATTGATTAAAGCTATATTACGGTGACTTTGAATCCCATGAGCTTCACGTTAAACTCCTGCAAAGATATACCATTTTTTTTGTGATAGCTGATAACATTAATTATATAACATCTCATGACTATACCACATTTTAGTGGGAATTTCAGGACCCTAAAATGGAGCTACTGTACCTTGAATCAAGCCATATTTTGGGGGCACATTCCCTTACATAGCCTTCACAAAATTTGAACAACATAGGCCTTAACTATGGTAGCTACCTCCAATAAACATCGGGTAGCTGTTGCATGGCAATTGATGAACATTGCCCCCAAAATGGCTGATCTTCCGCCCTGTGGCTTGGCTCCTAAGGATATGGTGGCGCAGTATCTGGGACAGACTGCTCCGAAGGTGCACGGTGCATAGTCAGCCACGATCTGGTGAAACAATTGGGAAGATGATCATAGGGGATTTGGAGGTTTCAATGCTGGATGGTTTTTAATGGAAAGTCCTAAAATAAAATGGATGATTTAATGATTTAGGGGTACCCCCATGTTAGGACATCTCCATAAAAAGGCCATAAAACCAATGATCATTGGATTGGTTTACGGGAAAAATTGCAGGAAAGCCCCATGATCTTGGTAAGAAGCATGGGAAATCCGGTTTTCAGATTTTCCCCTAATCCAATGACATGACATCATGAGGATGTTGGGAATGACAACTTGGACAAGTTGTCCAGCTATCCAGCTATCGTGAGCTGAGCTATGGTTGTATCCATGTAGAGCTACGCATAGATTTTCCCAACCACATGATAGTTCAGCCGTTCAGCCCATCACTTTTTCTTCAGACTCAGGGGACGATAAAATAAGGTATTGATCCATTTTTATAGGATTGTAAACCATCCCATTTTCAAGTACCCAATGACGGGAGACCCGTACGACTGGAGGATTATCCCACGAATCGAAACTGGTGAATAATCCGAATGATCCAATGGTCAGGGTCCTCCCTGATTTGTGGCTTTTCCATGGTTTTCCCGGGTCTCAATGGGGATGATCCTGATCTATCCTGATGATCCTCTCTCGACGTGTCACTTAACTGGGAGCCAACGTGTCCGGGCGTTTTCGGGTGACCACTGAGTGGGGAAATCATCCAGGGATGAACGGTTTTTGATCAAGACCCTGACAGTCGTCTTTTTTGGATGAATGTTTCAGTTCACCTACCCTCTGGTAAACTAACATAGCTATGGAAAATCACCATGTTTAATGGGAAATGTCACTATAAATCACCATTTTCAATAGCTATGTTAAATTACCAGAGGGTAAGGGATGATGTTTCCAATTGTTTGAAATTCAGACTGTTGGAAGGGTCCTGACTGTTTTGGGTCTTCGCCCTTTTTTGAAGAAGACACTAAGATTCATTTCCTCTGGAGTGTTTCCCGCAAATCAAACCTGTGAGTCAGCCAGAAATTGAGTTCCCCTGATGATTCATCGACGTTTTATCGTGTGGGTGAAATCCTACAACTTTGGCAAGAATATGAAGGTGTCCAAAAATGGCTAAACATAGATAATCATGTGGGGGTTTCCATGGGAGTAGCCCATTTGTTCTTTTTTTTGGTTTATTTCAGGGAAAATCTGAAAATCAAATGGATGATTTAGGGGTACCCCCATGTATGGAAATCCCCATATAATATATATATATATATAAACATGAGTTGAAACTAAGCGCTCAATCAGAGCAAGCCAAGATGAAATAAATGGCTGGTTCTCCATCCGGTTCGGCATCCGTCCTAGATAGTGACTGGCTTCTGGGCAACCCGATTTACCTAGTTGGGAGATATCAAGGGACATGCCCTAGTTGCTATGCAGATATCAACGCATATATACGTATATATATATATACACATACACACATAAACCAGGTTCCTATCATCCAGTTCCTATTCACATGTATTTACTAATTCAGACATGGCTGCATTCAACATGTCAATAAACATCCAAAAAACTCCGGTTCTATATAAGCATCTAGTATCACATGGTATCATTTTCTCAAAGCAAACCTAATTTCAGTTTGTAGTTATACTTGTTATACTTGGATGTACATCCCAGTTTGTAAATGGCTTATAGCCCCTGTATAAGTGGAGATATCCCATAACATACATATATATATATATATATCCATATATCATATAATTATGTGTATATATATATATGCACGCACATGTAACTGGGTACAATATGGTTGAACCACTTACTAGCTGAGCCATACAAAATAGCCTGGTTGATTGGTTAAATTTCATGTTAATATGGGGACCCTATGGGGAGCTATAATGCCTGGGTGATTGAGGTTTTATTATGAACAGTAGGGAAAGCTATCAATAAGTGGTTGGTGGTTTCAAACATGTTTATTTTCCATTTCATATATGGGATGTCATCCTTCCCATTGACGAACTCATATTTTTCAAGATGGTAGGTATACCACCAACCAGATATATGTGTTTGATTTACCCACTATAACCATCATTAACCATTAACCATCCATTAACCATCCATGGTAACCCTCCAGATGGTAGGTCCACGAGATCCATGGTAACCCACCAACCAGATAACCAGAGATGGGAACACGTGTCCGTCAGGTGGAAAAGGCCGTCGCTGGAGCCATTGGCGGAGTGCTCTTCATCGATGAAGCCTATGCTTTGGTGCGCGATGGCAAGGAGCGAATCGAACTGGATCATGGGAGAGTCACTGATCAAGAGATATATATATATAGTAATATTTAATAATAATAATTAATTAATAATAATAATAAATAATAATAATAATAAATAAATAATAATAATAATAAATAATAATAATAAATAATAATAATAATAAATAATAATAATAAATAATAATAATAATAATAATAGCAATAATAAATAATAATAATAATATATTAAAACTTTAGCAATTTTCCGAGAATTTGAAGGAAACCGTTGGTTTTGTTCGATTGAACTTCGATATTTTCTCTTGTTTTTGGCGAAAACCCCATGGTTTCCGGTGGATTTTCGCTTTCACCAATTGACCGAAGGGTTTTTCAAACCCGAAGAATGAGGTCATGGATGGAATCCCAGGAGGCCTTTGGGTTGGAATTTTGGGTATTCCCCAATTTATTTCGATTTCAATGGGGAATATAGTGTTAAGCCCCTAGATTTGTTGTTTTGCCCTAAATGTTCTGACAAAGACATGTTATGTAAGTGTGAAATTAACCCTAAACAAGTCTCGACCTATCCAATCTTATTTGTTGTGGGGAGGTAGCGTTCCCCCCCTTACATAGATTGATTTACAGCTACCGGGTAGCGTTCAAGGGCACCCTTAGGATTTTCCAGCAAATTGAGGTGAATATGGATCATGGGGGACGGAAACATGATGCAAACACTTGCTTGTTTAAAACAGATAACAATGGTTGACCCGAACATCAGTAGTTTCGAATCTCAGGTTCACCATGTTGTTTCGGAAACTCACAGGGATGCACAGAGCTTTGTCCAGGTATGGCCAGGTCGAAAGGAGATGTTGGGATAGTTTTGGAGTTGTCGTGCTGTTTAGATACTGTTTAGATACGAATCAGTAACATGCGTCCGCAAGTAAGGTACCAAATGGTTTGAACTATGTTGAACTTCAAGCAAGTCATCAGGCCGTTCAAACTCTCCGCTGCCTCGTCGTGTGAGGACAGCTTTGGGCAAGAAGCCGTGGATACCTTGATCAAGGAGATGGAAGACAAGCGTAACTTGGCGGCTTCATAAGCTACCAAAACAGGGGTGGGTGGTTGTTACCCGAAACACCAGGCTGTTTAAAATATTCTATTCTTGGGGGTACCCTGAAACTTCCACAAAAAACAATATGTGGGACATGTTTGACTTGTTTCCTGACTCTCGATGCTTGAAATCAACTACTTGCATTCTACTTCCCTGAAACTTCATGCAGGGATTTGTTTGAAGATAGGCTACCACCTGAATACATTGCAAAATAACATCACATTCCCCATGAAATATGGTCATCAACTGGATTTACCCTCCAGTAATCAAACGTGGCAGTGGAGAATCCCACCATTTAAAGATGATTTTATCATGTTTTTATGATTTAAAAAATAATATCCAATCATTTATAGGGATTTTCCCAGCTATAAACCTCCATTTCAGAGAGATTTTCCCATGATATCCGTTAGGCCACGAAATCTTTCCCTACGTTGACACTGGAGGGTGCGGGGGTTGGTTCATCCCACTTAGTGGGCTATCCATACACAACCCATATAATCCCATATGTAAGTGGGGATATTCCATCTATAACTGGGGGTATAACCCATAAAAACTAAGTGGGGCCCGCAGCCCAAGGGTAAGGGCTCCAACGTTCAGGCAAGAACGTGATAGTCATCCTGGCGGGCTATGATGCTTGGCTTTTTTTCGCATCCCGCGTTCACGAAAAACAGCCCATATGGTCCCAATGATGTGGAAATTCCTTACTAAACACCATGGTTTCCTTTGGGGATGTTGAGTAAATCTAATATTTTCATGGGGGATTGGAGTAGTTTGGGAGTTCAGCTGAAGATGATGTGGCTTATTTTCCTAGGAAATTCACCATGACTGGGGAATCCAGAAAGGGACTTGTTGTCAATGGAGATGCGGGCTCCGATAAAACTTACCCTCTGGTTATGTCAAACATAGCTATGGATAGCTATGGTATAAATGGCCCATAGAAATAGTGGATTTACGCAGCTGTAAAATAGTGGATCTTTCCATAGTTATGCGGCTGTGCAAAGCATGTTTACCAGAGGGTACATGATGATGATTAATTTGATGAGGATAGAGTTTGGGGCAAGTACCCGATGCGAAAATCGGCATTTCGATGCGAAAATGATCGAACCAACCGGGGGACTGTCCGCCCTTTCCATTCTTGATGACACATCCTGGGTATCAAAAAAGTGTTTTTACATTGCTTTGGGCTGGTTCCATGCATCTACTAGATTTCAACACCACAAGATATGGTGCATTGAACTACCATTCTGGTGCATTAGATGTTCATCCAAACTGTTCAAAGCCAAGATGGGTCCTTTAGTACTTTCATGTTTTGCCATCAATATATGTTTTTTTTTTTTTAAACACCAACAAGCTTAAGATTTTTTTTTTCCCGGGTATCTTAGGTTGGCCATGCAACCCAAGCAACAAGATCAGAACATGTCAGACCAGTGTGCTGTGAACCCGGAATTTTTACGTGGACTGGACCAAGCAGAACGGAGAATTGTCGGAGAAAAAAGACATGACATCATCAAACATGGATTATTTTCATGGATCTTGCATGATTTTGCCCATATTTTGCCAAGCAACATGAGGAAGTTTCATAGGAATATGCCTAGAAACATCATGAATTTCACCCAGAAAGTGGTGATACCCAGGGCCTTTGCCCGTTGATGCCCGTTGAGCCCTGCCAGGAAGCAGAGATGGATAGCTTCTTCGACTCGAACCCGGGCTTCAAGAGCCGCGTGCCCTTCACCTTCCGCTTTGAGGCGGGTCAAAACCCTGCCTAGCTACCCTAAGTCATAGCTGATTATATAATGGGTATTCCACCAAATATGGTATGTTCATAGGTTTTGAACCATCCCCATCTGTATATATATATATATACTATAATATATATATATGATATATATATAATATAATATATAATATATATATATATAATATATTTATATATATAATATATATAATATATAATATATATAATATATATAATATATATAATATATATAATATATATAATATATATAATATATATATATATAAATAAAATATATAATATATATAAATAATATAAATAATATATAATATATATAATATATATAAATAATATATATATAACATATATAATTAATATATATATAATATAATATAATATAATATAATATAATATATATATATAATATATAATATATGATTAATAAATATAATTAATATAATATATATATGTATTATATATATATATATTTAATCAATTAAAACATACATGATGCATCATCATGCCTGATGCATCATGATGCATCATGATGCAAACATCATTTCTTTTATATAACATATATATATGTAACATACACATACACATTGTACTGTACAGTTGTAGTGTACATAGACATGAGGGATGGCTTGGTGATCCCAGGCATCCCATTTATCAACCACCAGGGGAATTGCTTCGAGATTTTCTGCAGGGGTTGCCCCAGATGGAAAGGATCCAGGTGTTCATGTAGATTTTACAAAGGTACAAAACTGGTTGGTGGTTTCAAACATTTTTTATTTTCCATTTCATATATGGGATAATCCTTCCCATTGACTAATATTTTTCAAGATGGTTAAAACCACCAACCAGTAAAACTCTAAAGAACTCATCAACCCATCACATCTCCAGACCAGGACTACAGTTGCACTGAACTGGGGCAGATTGGAAGCCTTGCCACTTGGCGAATGCTTCTGCGATTTCGCTTTGAAAAGTCCCAGTGTCGAAACGGTCATATTTAAAGCATTGACCCTCTAGTTATTAACGTATATACCTATGGATGATTTATGAATATCAATGATGATTGACCCATTAAAAACAATGATTTGCATAGCTAGATAACAAATTACCAGGGGCTAAACCACAAAAAATCAAACAGCAATGACATGCAATGACTTTTCTTGAATCATCTTGGCACCCCGCTGCATCCCGCTGCTTGCTGGAGCTCAGGGAGCGACATCCCCGAACTAAATGAGCATTTTTTGAAGCTGGGAACATCATTTACCTGGGAAATTAACATGACATAGACATATATATAGACCCTGAACATGATCCATTTTTAGTGCAAACAAGTCTGAAAAAAAGCTATCTGCCAGGGTCATCCAGGAGGTTAAACCAACAAGAATCGAGTTCAACACCGACGATAGAGAGGTACTTTTGGTGGGGTTGTAACTGTTGTAGCATGTTGTAGCTAACCACTTTTCTGGGGTTTGCAGATCGAAGTTCCTTGCGGTGAAATGAGTTTCCATTTAATTTTACAGTATCTACGGGGCCCATCGTTGAACAAGACGCAGCAAGTCTTCCCAACCACAGACATGCAATGATGAAGAGTTCAAAGGGCCGCTGAATTGGAACAGTTACCACCATTTTTGTTGCTTTTATTGTCTATCTACCTTCTTTTATCTGAAACAATCACTGAAATGACTCGAAAGCAGGTTCCAAACGCCATACAATACATTCAATACATGGATGATGTTGAGGGGTTCTCATTGTATTACTCCCTTCCTGCCAACATCAAACACTGTATTGAACTAGTGATCCATTCATAATTGGGGTCCCAAACATGGCAAGCTGCTGCCCCTCCAGTTCCATTTGTTGATGTTTACCCATCTAACTAGCTCGCTTTTTTTCTATATCATGAACCCAGCAGTTAACAACTTGATAGGTAAACCACAACTACCTATCATGAATCCATATAAATCCATATAAATCCATATAAATCCATATAAATTCATATTTTTATCCCAGTTCTTGAGGGAGAAACATGAAAATTCACATCCTCAAGTCATGGTGGATCAAAATCGGTTACGAAAAAATCGGGGCACCGCACCCGCCGAGGTGTTGAACTCGCAAGGTTTGTCTGTGGCAGCAGATGCACCTCGTTGATTAATATGGTTGGTTAACAAATGGTTTACATAGGTTTGATATATATGGTTCGATATATGGTTTGATATATGGTTTGATATATGGGTTGATATATGGTTTGATATATGGTTTGATATATGGTTTGATACATTGCTTGATATATGGTTTGATACATTGCTTGATATATGGTTTGATATATGGTTTGATACATTGCTTGATATATGGTTTGATACATTGCTTGATATATGGTTTGATATATGGTTTGATACATTGCTTGATATATGGTTTGATATATGGTTTAATACATTGATATATGGTGTGATATATGTTTTGATACATTGCTTGATATATGGTTTGATATATGGTTTGATACATTGATATATGGTTTGATATATGGTTTGATACAATGTTTGATATATGGTTTGATATATGGTTTGATGTATGGTTTGATATATGGTTTGATACATTGCTTGATATATGGTTTGATATATGGTTTAATACATTGATATATGGTGTGATATATGTTTTGATACATTGCTTGATATATGGTTTGATATATGGTTTGATACATTGATATATGGTTTGATATATGGTTTGATACAATGTTTGATATATGGTTTGATATATGGTTTGATGTATGGTTTGATACATTGCTTGATATATGGTTTGATACATTGCTTGATATATGGTTTGATATATGGTTTGATACATTGCTTGATATATGGTTTGATATATGGTTTAATACATTGATAAATGGTGTGATATATGTTTTGATACATTGCTTGATATATGGTTTGATACATTGCTTGATATATGGTTTGATACATTGCTTGATATATGGTTTGATATATGGTTTGATATATGGTTTGATATATGGTTTGATGTATGGTTTGATACATTGCTTGATATATGGTTTGATACATGGCTTGATACATCGCTTGATATATGGTTTGATATATGGTTTGACGCATTGCTTGATATAGTGTTTGATATATGGTTTGATACATTGATATATGGTTTGATATATGGTTTGATAAATTGATTGATATATGGTTTGATATATGGTTTGATACATTGACATATGGTTTGATATATGGTTTGATACAATGTTTGATATATGGTTTGATATATGGTTTGATATATGGTTTGATAAATTGATTGATATATGGTTTGATATATGGTTTGATACAGTGTTTGATATATGGTTTGATATATGGTTTGATGCATTGCTTGATATATGGCCTGATACATTGCTTGATGTATGGTTTGACATATGGTTTGATATATGGTTTGATATATAGTTTGATACATCTCTTGATACATGGTTTGATATATGGTTTGATACATTGATTGATATATGGCTTGATAAATGGCTTGATACATGGTTTGATATCTTGTTTGCTATATTGCTTGATATCTGGTTTGAGATATGGTGTGACATATTGATTGTTTTGTTGCTTGATATATGGTGTGCTAAATATGTTTGACACATTGATTGATTTATTGCTTGATACATGGTTTGACATATGGTTTGACATATGGCTTGATATATGGTTTGACATTTGGTTTGATATATGGTTTGACATATTGATTAATTTATTGCTTGATATATGGTTTGACATATGGTTTGACATATGGCTTTATATATGGTTTGACATTTGGTTTGATATATGGTTTGATATATTGCTTGATATATTTATATGGTTTTATATCTTGTTTTTATATGTTGTTTACTATACTGTTTTATATTTGGCTTCATATACGGTTTGATATATTGATTGATACATTCCTTGATATAGTGTTTGATATGTGATTAATTGCTTTAATACTTGTTGTATTGAGTTCTAAAGTCATAGAAGCGACGCTGAGCCATACACAAGTGCGTTGTTTCTTTGTTTTCTTATACCAGATTAGTCTCATAGATTATGCCCAGGTTCAGTAACAATAACAATGAATTCACTAGTAGGCACCGAGGTAACTCACGTCCATATCATGATCGTGGATAACCACTAGTAGTGATATCATAATTAGTATGAGCACATAATTCATACTAACATTGCAATACAATGACGTCCTTTTTATTTGTGGCTGCACAATTATCAATTCCATTGGAAGAACGGACGTAACTGTATCATTGGAATGGTAAAGTGTTTCTTCATTTTATTCATTTCATTAGTTCATATTGAGTCCAAATTGAAGACCCAGGGACCACATTCATTTTACTCATTTTAGTCGAGAGTTAGTACTAATCATCTCATTATTGGAACATCTTGTAACCATCTAATTATTATTAGTATTGACTATTAACATATCTAATTAACCATTTGATATTAACCATCTGATATTCACCATCTATTCTTAGTATTGACCATCTACTCCTAGTATTTAACCATCTATTCTTACTATTTAACCATTAGTTCTGGCCATGGTGTTTGCCATCTCCCAAGTCCCGGAAAAGAATATCTTTTTGTTTTTCACCAAGGCCAGCCCTCGCTTGGAAGACCTCATTGCCTTCACCAGTGGCTGCTGATACTTGGAACGCACCGCACCGGAAGATGACCCGCAGATTCGCAACAAAAGTTTGAAGCTTCCATTTTTGGGGGTTTGATTATATGATATGGGTATGGATCAATACCTATTAATACCATTTTTAGGGGGTTATTCACATCCATTTACCAGCTATTTTGATGTGAACTACAGGGGTACTATTGGTTTTGACACACTGCCATATTTTGACCCCAAATCACCTCAGAGAATTGGCGCAACATGAGATCCCTTCTATTTGAAACATCCTAAAAGCCATGGGTTTTTCGGGGAACACACATTGGTCACATCGGATCATTGGGACCCACGAATCAAAGACTGGAGATATGGCATTGTTTTACAGCGGTATTTTTTATATGCTGATATATGCTGATATTTTTCGAAGCCACAACTCGCGAAACTGGGATGCATAGTGGCATAGTGTATCCAAGTGTTGATGGGGATTCGGTGGATTTAGATGCAAAATCGATGTGTTTTTTTTTGGGAGGTAGGGGTTAGATGGACGCTTAGCAAGGGATCAAGAAACCAGCAACATCCCTCGTGCTTGACAGTCAGGAATAGAGACTATAACCATATATAACCACCTGGAAAGCCGTAGCCCATTGTTTCAGGCTACTTTGGCCCACTTTGGCCAATTTTTGTGTCACTTTACAGTTCTTGCACATAAAAAGGCACTTCGTCTTTTGGTGCAACATGTTCGGCAAAAGTGCCGCAAATAGCCGCCAAGTGCCATAAATACCCGTAGAAATCCTTCTCCTGAAATGGTACACTTTCCAGTGACCAAAATTCCTGGCACTTTGGAAAGTGCCCCAAAACAATGGGTGCCAGGCTTTTCAGGCGGCTGCAAGTTTGTTTTAACATGATATGTCACGGATGTGTAATTGTATCGTTTTTTTGGGTCATGCCAACTGTCGTTTTTGCATGGGAATTATGGACTGTTTTCGGCCAGTGTTTCTGGAATAAAAAGCCGAACTTGGGTGGCTGAATTAACCACCAATTTGAGGATATGGAGGAATACTATTATTAATATATTATAATACGATTGAAATTATGCTGTTAAGAAAACGGATCACAACTTGTTTGAGGGACACAGGATGATGGGGCTCCGATCATGAATTCATAGCCTCTTCGTACCCGCTCAATAGCGGGTATAGCATGGTATAGCCACTAATCTCCTTGTATCTATGTCCCAAAATGGTGTATACACCGGACTTCAAATTAAATCTTCATTTTCCCTATTAAGATTGCCCTAAATTCAGCGCAATGCGCCATTAGGGATATAGCAAGCCTCAAGATGAAAACAGAAAGTACAATAACATCCTGAAACAGTGGTAAATGACTTTTTTATCCGTTTCTTTGTTTTTTCGGAGGTTTCTATAAACCAACGTTGTTTTCCCACCTCCCCACCGGTCTCCGCCACGAGGCAACGACATCGCCGCCCCTGACTGCCATCCCTCTCGGGACAACGGCAACGGCCGCACAGTGCGCAACGTCATCGAGGTACGCGGGGGCAGCTGACAGGCGCCAGGGACCCCCGCAGTGCCAAAGTGCTTCGATGTATCCAGCAGAATTTAACAGTTGGCCTGGCGATAATAGAGGATTTTTATGACCATATGTGAGACAGGAGTATGTAAGATTATGTAAGCAACAAAATGGGAGTATGAAACTAACCATGCAATTCATGGGATGTTGTATAGGTTATGTTATGAGATGGATACTCAGCATATATGAGTTTCTCCACTTTGATTTATCCAGTTCTGATGCAATTTGATCTATGGCTTCTCATGTTTTGTCCCAAAGCCATATATTGTCGCAATCATTATGAAGTATCCTTTTTAGCCATATGTTTTAACCCAATCGTTTTTCCCACTTCTTCTCCAACGGATTTTCATATCGGATTGGACAGTTACATCTAAATTATGTTCAATTCTTATCCAATGGGACACCGGGACACCAATTGTCCAAACATGGAACGTAGTGCCAGTATGATGGATCGAAAGGTGGTTGAGGATCTGAGTCTCTCTCTCTCTCTCTAATTCTTTCTGTCACCTTCTCTCTGTGTCTCTCTATCTCTCCTTCTGTCCGGCTAACTATTTGTCTATCTATTTCTAGTGTAGTTGTAGTTGTAGTTGTAGTGTAGTGTGGTGTAGTGTAGTGTAGGTTTGCGTGGTGTAGTGTAATGTTGTAGTAGTGTAGTTCTGTTCTTATAAGTGTGACAACTGATATGTCTCCAACTGGAGACTTGCTTGTCACATCGCAAGATGAAAGGCGAAGGACGCGTTGACAAGGGAGCAAAAGGCAAAGGCAAGAAAGAGGACAAAGATAAAGACAAAGGAAAACTGGTTGGTGGTTTGGAACATTTTTTATTTTTCCATAATATATGGGATAATCCTTTCCATTGAGTAAAATTTTTCAGAGGGGTTGAAACCACCAACCAGAAAGGCAAGGATGACAAAGGCAAGCGTAAGTCGTCTCATCGAAGCTGGCGGTGTCATTTTCTGTACCAGAACATCCGTCAGTTGGAATATTGGACATCTTCAAACTCTTCAACAGCTGATCAGGAACCATTGGACGGTTCGTTTGCCTTCTATGAAGTCTGACAAGGTTAGGCTTTCTCCAATGGTTGAGGCTTTCCTTGACATCAGTGAATTCCACTGTGCTGTTGCAAGTGCTTATCTCAGGTCCGTTGACAAGTTGGCCTTTCCTCGAGGACCAAACAATGAGAGTCGGAGCTGTTTCAATGTTTGTCTACAATGATGTCATGAAGCGTGCGACTGTGTCCAACATGGGTAGCCCATTGATGAAGTTCGCTGGACACAAAGATCGAAGGCCAGATTAGTCTTCTACCAGTTACCATTACTGGATGGAGTGACAAAAATTGGACAATGGGCAGATGTGGACGATTTCCAGACAGACAGCAGGTTGAGGCCAGATTCGATCCTGGATTACCCTCTGGTTATGTCAAAATAGCTATTGAAAATGGCCATAGAAATAGTGAGTTTTCCCATAAAAAATGGTGATTTTCCATAGTTATGTTAGTTTACCAGAGGGTACTTGGCGTCAAGCTTTCATCCTTTAGAGCTTGCCTTTCTTCGCTGTTTCGTACAAGAAGTACCTTTCGATGCCAGCGTTGAGATGGCAATCTGGGGCAACGCTATCTTTGAAACACCCAATGCTTGGGGGGTGCATTTCGTTGGTGAATTGGGATATAACCCAGATTTAACTGGGGTATTGCATACATGTAAGATTAGGGTACCCTACGTTAAACTAACATAGATATGGAAAACCAATAGTTTCCCTAGGAAAATGATTCAAAATGATCTACATTGAAGGTGGGTTTTCCACATCTACGCAAACGTAAAAAAGGAGGGTAATTCGATCAATAGCCCATTAGTATTCCATTATTTTTCCTTTTAAACGATATACTGTAACTATAACCCACATGTATAACAAACACACATATTGTAGGTACATATCACCCCCCCCAAAAAAAACACATACTGTGGTTATCAACCACTTACCAACTGGCTTGCACATCCAAGACGTACGGGCATCACCACAGTAAGTTCACCTCCATAAGTTGGATTGGAAGCCTCTATAGCTATGGTATACCATCGTTATAAACCGACCAATTATGGTTATTATATTAGTGTTGCTATCCAGTTATGGTTATATAGCTGGTTTATTACAACATGGTTCTGATTATTGCTATTTACAATAGTATATGGTTATGATTATCCATTTATGTCACTTGTGGTTATATAGCTGGTTTATTATACTGATACTTGCCTTATTTCCTTATTATGATTATATAATATGATACCAATATAACTATTAGCCGTAACTGTCAGTTATTAATTATAATGAGTTATAGCCGTATATGGGTATAAAAAATATTAACTATTGACTGTTGACTATTCGTTATTAATCTTAACTATCCAATTGTTTTGATGTTTGTCGTAATGCTAATAACAAGGGATACTAACCAGTAATACTATTTACTAACCATATGGCCATATGGGTTTGTCTGAGAATAGGCTACCTAAAAATCCAATGGTTTGGAACCCGGTTTCCCTTTTCGACATGGTCATTTTATGGTATCCACCATTTTCAGAATAATGTTAACCATCAACTATATATAAACTATTGACGATCAACCGTTAACTATTTTACTATATTGACTGTCAGGTAATATGGTTAACAATCCAATTTTACGATATTTTACTTATGGTTAACTATATTATACTATATTAGCATATATATATGTAAAAACTATGAACCATCCACTATTTATAAATGCAGATTTTCAGGAAATCCCAAAACCTGGTTTCCAAATCCAATACCTATATTTCATGGGTAACAACATAAACCCTTCGTTTTTCATGGTTGCGGGTGCTGATGGTATGGTGAATCCTCCATTTCTTCTCCACCAGAGTGCCTTTTTCACTCGTCGGCCGTCACGAGGCCTTACAGCGCGCCATGGCTCGGCGCGTGGTGCAATCTCAGCGCCTTGGCGAGCGATGTTGGTGCCCCAGTGGGTTCGATAAAACATGGGAAAACCATAGGAAAACCATAGGAAAATGGAGGTTTACCCTCTGGTTATGACTAACATAGCCATGGTATAGATGGTCCATAGAAATAGATGGTTTACCGTTCTTAAAAATGGTGATTTTCCATGGCTATGTTAAATAAGCAGATGGTAATGATAATAGTTGTTAATGACTGTGTTGATAAATAGTTATATATATATATGTTATGTATATATAGTTATTGACACAGTTATTCATGATAGTAGTTATTAACACAGTTATTGACACAGCTACTAATGATAATAGTTATTGACACAGAAAAAATGACACAGTCGTTGACACAGCTGTCAGTAGTTAATAGCTGATTTCAGTAGTTAATAGCTGATGATACAGTTATTGATGAGTGATTGGTTATAGTTATAGCCTATAGCAATGTTGACGAGTAGTAGTTGATTATATAGTTATTGATGTTGCTCATCAACTGTTAACTTATTACATACTGTATTTCAATAGTTAATAATATAGTTGTAATATTGAACCACTTATTAACTTCACATAACCGTTGGTTTATGATTCACCCATCCAAAGCTAGATATCCCATCAGGAGTCCCATCATGATCCATACGTCATGTAGTTGTTTCTCTGGATGATTATTTCATGGAAAACCCGAAAATCCTATCAAGAATGATTTGTGTGTATTTCGATGAATTGGACACATCCAAGAACTATTGGGGATATTCCATCTCTAACTTAAATACTTGAAAGTGATGGTCAAAATCACAAAAAACAAAACATTTACCAACCTTTGGATGTTGACCTTTGAAAAGAACACCGGAAGATGCTTGGTCTGGTCACATATAAGTATGGGTGTGTCTGAAAATTTCCTCAGCTGTGGCCATGAAACAATAGGGAAAATGATCTACTTGGGATTTTTATTTGGGGATCTTGAACCCATAAATCCAAGACAAATGAGGACTTAATGGGGATTATAATGTGATATACAAGAAAGACTATGACACACTATTCAGTTGATCCAGTGGTGAATGGTAGGAACGGAGAAGGTGGAAGTAGGATACCCATATTCCCACACCTACTAAATGGGGAGGAAGTTGGAGCTTCGAATGGAGTTTCCCAACCACATGATACAGTAGTTTTTGAGTTGTTTATATTGAGTGGTTCATGCATGCTGCAGATAGGTTTGTCCGAACATTCTGGACATTTATCAACAACTGTGGGTTAACGCTTGAAACCAAGGATGATATGGGATATAATGAAATGAACAGCTTCAGTATGATCTAGAAATGGGAGATACGTCCAGGTTTTTGCTGTTCGAATGCTGATGGACTGCCTCTGACCTGCAAGGTGGGTTCCCCCAAACGTGAAAACGTTTGTTGGTTTAGTTGCACCCCATGAAAACTAAGATCGATCTATCTACCACTAAACCACAGTTCACCTAGTGAACTAAAGCAACTTGCCAATTCAGATACCCTCTGGTAAACAAACATAGCTATTGAAAATGGCCGTTTATAGTGAGTTGTCCCATTAAAAATTATGATTTTCCATAGTTATGTTAGTTTACCAGAGGGTATATCAACTCACATTAACTCACATTAACTCATATTAACTCTATACATCCCAATTTTTGATGGTTAAATTACCCGTTTTACATTTTTGTGGCTCCTCTGAGGAGCACCGATATGGCATCCCTACAGACGTTGACGCTGAAGGACTTGACATTGGTGGCAGAGGAGCAGGCTGCTGCACGTCTGGAGGCGGCCTGCAGGTCTCGTGTTGTGAATTTTTCCCATGAAACATGTGGTGATTTTTTTTTACCGGTATTTACCAAGGAAAATTTGGTGATTTTCATGGGATTTATATTTTTTCGGATTTAGCCAAGAAAAATGGTGAGCTAATGGGATTTATATGGGATTTAGCCAACAACAATTGTGACTTCATGGGGTTTAATGCGGATATACCCTCTGCTAAACTGGCAGTTTGCTATGGAACTTGGCCCTCAAATATAGATGACGTACAGTTTTCAAAGATGGTGACTTTCCAATAGTTATATTAGTTTACTGGAGGTTACTTTGATCTATCGAACAAGACCAATAGAAAAGAGGAGTTAATGGGGATTTTTTTAAGCGATGTATCATCAACAACAGCAACCAGAAAATGGTTTTGTCTGAAAATAGGGCATCCCTAGATCCGTTAATCATCATCAAGATATTAAGCCTACTAAAATATGATAATTTGGGGGCATACCCCAGACAAACCCATCCTATGATGGATCGGAGTCGCCGGATGTCCGGACATCCCTCCGGTGTCATCAAACGTGGCCGCTGGGAAATCCCCGATAAATGGAGGCTGAAAAATGGGAAAATCAATGGAAATCATCAATAAATGGAGAATTTTCCATTGCCACGTTTGAATTCACCGGAGGGTACATAAAACTGGGCGGATTTGATTGCTATACGTTTTTTTTGGTGCATCTGTTGGGGTTTAGATGGATTTACCCCACACGCCACGGACAGACTTTTTAACTTTTAGCATGGGATCAACAAACCCAAGAAAAGAAAATCACTCATGATCATGTGCGGTTTTATGATCTGGTTGGTGGTTTGGAACATGAATTTTATGACTTTCCATTCAGTTGGGAATTTCGAATTCCCAACTGACGAACTCATATTTTTCAGAGGGGTGGGTTGAAACCACCAACCAGTGATGCAATATGATTCAATATATTCATACACCGCGATCACTGATGATTTTTCCCTCATGACTCTCCTTGTTATCCCCGATGCATATTCCACATGTTTGGCTGGGGTATACTGTTCAAAGTGGAATGTGTATCCACAAGAAATAAGATATTAAGCAACCCTCTGGTAATCAAACATGGCAATGGAAAATCCATAAAATTCATTCATTTGGTTGGACGATTTTCCCGTTCACACCTTCATGTTCATCTGATTTTCCAGCTAGCCATGTTTGATGACCGAAGGGTACAAAAAACTGACCAGCGCCAGTAGTCCTGTGGGAATCAGGGGCTTACCAGCAAATGGAAGAGGATAGACAACACAGAAGCAAAGACCCAAGATTTGTTTGAAAATAAGGTGCCCCCAAATCCATCCAAATCCTATTGTGTATGATCACGTTCCCCATATTTTTCCCATTTACAGATGGCAATATTGGGGAATTCCCCACTTCGAGACAAGCAGGGATCTTAAAGGCCACAGTTCGTGGGTAGCCGAGAGCAGGATTGAAATGAAGCAACTCAAATCCTGGATTTGAAAATTTGATCATTGACATTAGGTCCCTTGAACAAAACAATCAACAACGAGAACCTTCAGAAACATACATGAAAATGAACTTGCAGGACATTGTGTAGATGCGACGCATGTTTTGTCCCTTGAACGGTGCGTGAAATTTCCGTTTGATGTTTCAAGGAGTCTGGAGGTTGTAAGTTGAAGACTCGAAGCGCAAAGACGACAAAACTCATCGTTTTCAATTGTGCTTCTATTGATCTAAGGTACCAGTGTTGATCGGTAATGAAATGAGAATTATACTAATTGTATCTACTTGTACTAGATAGGTTATTGGGGATTATGAACTAATCCAGAGTAGGGAACCTATCAACCATAGTGTTCAAACATGACCCGCCCCAAGCTGATGAATTTCCGTGACGGATGTTCCACTGTGTTCCACTTCCTTCCACTTCGTCACAGGGCCCCTGCGGACAAACTGGGCTGGTCACAACTCTGGCAGAAGCTGCTGACAAGAAGGCGCTGGGTGGGATTTTAGCCAAGCGAAGTGTCCTATTTTTAGACCACCATGGTCATTTTCATAGGGGGACCAATGGTCTTGGGTCTTGGGGTCCCGCATTTTTAGGAAAGCCATGGAAACCCTCATGGAATATTCAGGTATTGGGATGTACATCCAACCGATGGGAAAAGGCCCATGGGTTTGGTTTTGGCCACCCGTAAAAAAGGGTCCCGTGGATCGTACCTGCTTCACAACCCTATACTTCCCCCAAGTAGTTTATCCCTTTTGTAACTGGGTTATGTATGTATGTATATATATATATATACATATACATATACAGTTAATTATGATAATTATATATATATATATGCTAACCCCCCCCCCTGATACCTACTTTTTACTGTTAATTCCTTCCTTTCTTCGTAACTACATCTGTGCTGGCAGCAAGTCATTTGCAAGAACCATGTGGGTTACATGCTTGAGGGAGCGTGGGTTCAAAAGGATTAAGCTATGAAGGCTTTGCACAAAGTGCTGCGTTACAAGTTCTCACTTGGGCAAACTACAGCAAGTACTTTGCACGAATCACGGTCACATGCTTGAGGGAGGGTGGGTTCAAAAGGATGAAGCTATGAAGGCTTTGCACAAAGTGCTGCGTTATAATTTCTCACTCGGGCAAACTACAGCAAGTACTTTGCACGAACCACGTGGTTCACGTGCTTGAGGGAGGGTGGGTTCAAAAGGATGAAGCTATGAAGGCTTTGCACAAAGTGCTGCGTTACAAGTTCTCACTTGGGCAAACTACAGCAAGTACTTTGCACGAATCACGGTTACATGCTTGAGGGAGGGTGGGTTCAAAAGGATGAAGCTATGAAGGCTTTGCACAAAGTGCTGCGTTACAAGTTCTCACTTGGGCAAACTACAGCAAGTGCTTTGCACGAATCACGGTTACATGCTTGAGGGAGGGTGGGTTCAAAAGGATGAAGCTATGAAGGCTTTGCACAAAGTGCTGCGTTACAAGTTCTCACTTGGGCAAACTACAGCAAGTACTTTGCACGAACCACGTGGTTCACGTGCTTGACACTTTAGGAAGGGTGGATTCAAAAGGATGAAGCTGTTGAGGCATAACATTATATTGAGGTAAAGAGTGGCACTTGCCTACGGTTCGACGAAGACCCCTGCAACCGCAGTAGCTCCCACGATATAGCGAAGAGAAGAAGCATCCTTTTTTTGGCCATCGCACGCTCGCACTCGGTAATCTACCCCAGATACCACTGTACAAGTGCGCCTGTGCATGTCCACAGGTCTTTTCCTCGATTCCAGTCCAAGATCCAAGATTTCCAGAAAGCTTTTTATATTGAGTTTCTTGAGACATGAGTTCAGACTTGAGTTCAGACTTGACTTCAGACTTGAGTGTCATAGTCTCGATTCCTGCTACCCAAGATCCAAGATTTCCAGAAAGCTTTTCTTGGAAATCTCGGGATAAACCCAAGATCCAAGATCCAAGATTTCCAGAAAACTTTTCTTGGATGCACTTGCAGAATTTTGGATGCACTCAAGATCCAAGATCCAAGATTCCCAGAAAATTTTTCTTGGATGCAGGCTGGAAATCTTGGATGCACCCAAGATCCAAGATTTCCAGAAAACTTTTCTTGGAAATCTTGGAAATCTTGGGATAAACCCAAGATCCAAGATCTTGGGTGCATCCAAGATTCTGCAAGTGCATCCAAGAAAAGTTTTCTGGAAATCTTGGATCTTGGATCTTGGGTGCATCCAAGATTTCCAGCCTGCATCCAAGAAAAAAAATCTGGGAATCTTGGATCTTGGATCTTGGGTGCATCCAAGATTCTGCAAGTGCATCCAAGAAAAGTTTTCTGGAAATCTTGGATCTTGGATCTTGGGTTTATCCCCAGATTTCCAAGAAAAGCTTTCTGGAAATCTTGGATCTTGGATCTTGGGTAGCAGGAATCGAGACTATGACACTCAAGTCTGGAGTCAAGTCTGAACTCAAGTCGGAACTCATGTCTCAAGAAACTCAATATAAAAAGCTTTCTGGAAATCTTGGATCTTGGATCTTGGGTAGCAGGAATCGAGACTATGACACTCAAGTCTGAAGTCAAGTCTGAACTCATGTCTCAAGAAACTCAATATAAAAAACCTATCAAATTCAACATATGAAAATAAGCAAATTATACTGTAATTTACAGTATAAATCAAGGAAAGGTAGGTACCAGGGGGGGGGTACCATATATATATATATATATACATATATATATATATATTAATACTGTGAATGGCTATTCACACTGGTAGTCCTCTCCCCACACAAGCCCTCCAAGGCTCGAACGCTGCTTTTTCCCCAAGCAGCAACAGGCCACTGTCAAGTGGCAACAGATGTTCAAATGCGCAACCAAGGACGCCACGTCCTGCAAATGCTCCCTGAGCAAAGTAGCAATGGCCAAGCAATGAACCCACCCGCCGCTTCACCTTTGATATGGGCCCGGAGCCAAGTATTGCTATTCGCATGAACCATGTGGTCAAAATGACCCTTCTGTGGGATTATACTTTGGCAGCTTAGGAGGATCCACTTCTTTGTACTGCTGATACACCTTGCAATGTTGAGAAATTCACAATATACATACGTATACATATATACATATATACATATATATATATACATATATAGTAGCACCCCCCAAGAAGATGTCTAACAGCGTGACAGCGTGCCACCAGGATGGTAATTCGATGATATTCATTTCATATTTCCAGATGTCCAACTTTTCTATCTATGACTTGTGATGGCTATATAATTAATATGTATACTTGGTGGTTCTTCCCAGCTAGTAAGAGAGTTCACCCCAATAAGTGGACATTGCCCCTACAAAACACCCATCCATGACTATCAATGGATTGGTTTAAGGGAACATATTAGCCGGAAACCATCGATTTTCCCATGAAGATCATGGGGGCTTTCCGGTTAAATTTTCCCTTAAACCAATCCATTGAAACTAGGGTGACATAGCCGGGATGAACCACCAGTGACCAGCCGCTACTGGAACACTCGGAGGCCGGTCTGGCGATGTGGAACAAGATGCTTGGTCAACAAAATGGTCGGAAAATTATTTTTTACTAGGGAATTGAGCCCATAAAAACCGATAAACTATGTAGAGATATAAGGATTTTTGATGGCGATTTTTGATGGGATATACAATATCATTACATCAATATACAATGTAGTAAACTATCTCGGAGCGCCTCGGAGCTATGGGCATGCGTATCCAAAAACGAGGAGCGGTTCGGAACTACGAATTGAGTTTCCCAGCCACATGACAGAAGTGGCAAGCTGGCAATTTCCAATTTTTTTTGAAGAACATATGGGAGAATCATCTTTCTAAACGGGTGATTTTCCATTGGGCAAGACATTATTAGATACCGAAGGATTATTTTCCTCAAGTTGGATTCATTCCCGGCTGTAGTGATTTCAAGGAAATGGCCAGCTGGAAAAAGGCCAAGTATCCAATTGTTCCCATGTGTGACCATCGGAGGGTAAACTGTAGCTGTGTTAGCATACTTATCTGTGTAAATTATAACGACCTCACTGTTCTCCCTCATTGGAATCATGGTTAGTAAGGGGAATCATCCCCAAATGGCCCAACATTTCAGGTTAGTGAAATATTATAATTTACCCAGATACTTATTGACTTGTGGAACTAACTGGTTGGCTGGTTGAGAAGGATTCCCAGGGATTTGAGACGAAACTATAGCAGCTACACTCAGCGCTTGGAGGAGGACTTTCCATTGGAACGCTTTGAAAAGGGTCTATATTTAGTTGGGGGAATGGTATATCACAGATTCAACACAATATCCACCATGCTGATGAACATAGAATCCAGATCACCAGCACAACATGAATATCTCCATGAAAGGAGTTGAACAGTGTTCAAAACCCTGATGGTTGATGGTTATAGGGAGGTTATACCCAAGATATGTTTGGATTATCACGATTCATTTTGGGAAATCTGTTCTTACCAAACCAGTTTTTGAAGGGAGGATGGCCTGAGTAAACCCATAAATATCCTGATATAACGTTGGTTTCCCCGAAAAAAAAATCACTTAGTCCCCAGTTATCCCCCAAAAAACACTGGCTAACCAGGAATTACCAGCTCAGCAAACCCAACGAGCAGCTCTACAGGACAGCCCAGCCGCGATGGGTGGACGATTTTTTCAGATACCCTCCAGTAAAGTAAGGATAGATAGCTATTTGATACTGTATATATATATATATATATTATAGATGATTTACCTTTAAACATGGTGATGTTCAATCGTTATGTTAGTTTACCAGAGTGTATCTCTTAGAGTCAAGTGACCAATTTTACCCACCAGAGCTGTGATAATCCACAATCAAGCCAGGGGTACTATGAATCATTGGGATCTTCTTCAGGCATTTGACGACACCATTACTTTGTGCGAAAATTACTCTCTGTGGAATATATATATACACACTATTTAGTTTGATGATTTTACCGGTTGGAAAGATGATGATCTTCCACAACGATAGGTTTGTGTACTGGAGGGTACTGTACTGAATATGACTTGATCTGAAGTAGAAAAGGAATATTGTATAAAATACACTGGAGGGTGGTACCCATCGCTTTTCAAAAAATGGTGAGGGGATCACGTCATTTTCAGAATGTGGAATCCAATGGTTTGGTGGGAAACATCGGAGATTGAAGCAACAAATAGGAAACATACACTGAAGGGACTGACGGAAATGAAGGTTTTCATAAGATTCATAGCTTCACACATTTCTTGGGATCCTTTGGCTTAATGGTGCTGAGGGAATGGGGGAATACTGTAATCCAATCCATAACTATTAACAATCATCCCATTCTCCTCCTACTAAGCAGCAGTAAGCGCATAGTTCGATGTTTGATGGGGAAAACCCTGGTTTCCGGTTAAGATTTTCCCTTCAGCCGATCCAGTGCTAGCCAAGACTTGACTTTTTTTCGGTTCGTATCTAGGTCATGAGAGGTGGATCTAGCATCAGCGATACCCCACGTATTTCCTCTATTATTCATAGTGCCGTCCACGGGATCTATATGTTAATCCCATCCGCCTTATAATGCTTGGAACAAAGCACACGATTCACCACATTCTCAGAAGGTTCTTTTTCTGTTCCGGACTACTGGATCATACTGGATCTTCTATTTTTGGGGAGTACTGAAATTTCACTTGAAGAAATCCTAGCTCTTGGGTCGAACATAAACTCAGAAGTACGGAGAAAGAGGTGGATGATTGCCCCCCCGTTTTCCATGATACAACCATCTTATCTATTCATATACCCTCTGGTAATTTAACATAGCTATTGAAAATGGCCATTTATAGTGGATTTTCCCATTAAAAATGGTGATTTTCCATAGCTATGTTAGTTTACCAGAGGATATATCATCCATCGAATCCATCGCTCCAGGATGGTGCGAGAAAGCCAGCGACTTTCCAAGTCCTTGAGCAGTTTCCAAAGTGCGCGGGCATGGGGCAGGCTTGGGGCAAAATCAACAACTTCAAGGTGGGGAAGAAACATGAAGAAACTGGAACTTCACAGGTGCAAAGCTGAAAATTGTCAGAATACCCTGGGATTTTGAATGGGATTTAAAATCTCATGCATTCTAATCCAATTAATGCTACTAGTACCCTGTGGTATTCCTTTACAGTTTGCTTTCTTAAAGCCTATGGCCCGTGAAAGGTTCGATGATTTACCGTTTTGAAAAGTGGTGCATTTGCTCCATAGCTATTTTAGATTACCAGAGGGTATCCCCATTGGCTCAGAGAAGTTCTCTCCCCGGCTTAGGTGAATTTGTCGGCGTCATAATCTTGAGGAACACATGTGTTTTTTTTTTTTTCGGAAAACAGGATATACCAGTATATACCATTATATACCACATGGCCATTTGATATCATTTACTGTATATAGGGGATACTGATTGATCCATGGCTCAGACAAACCTTTCGCATTGCACAAGATCCAGGAATTCGTCCCCCTCTGTCATTGGATTGGTTTAAGGGAAAATTTACCGGAAACTCCCATATTTAATGGTAAAAACCATGGTTTCCGGCTTCCGGTTAAGATTTTCCCTTAAACCAACCCAATGACTCTGGCAGCTACAAACACCGTGGTCGTTTTTCCACGACTGTAGGTACGTTGCTCGGCAACCTACAGACGCAGTGTAGCACTGGCCTTGACAACTTGGTGAAGAAGCTGGAGAGGACAGCCATCGTCAACGGGGGTCAGGTTGTAAAGGGTATGGAAAAGGTGGGGAGACCCCAAGCGACTGGAGATTGCTTGGAATCAAATTGGTTCAAATTGCTATAGTTGTAAAAACACACCTTTTCAACATCTCGTTTGCTGATCATTCACCACGAATCCTTGGGAATATCTGCAATATCTCGCGGCAAAACTTAAAATTAATAGGAACTAAGACTTAAATTATCTCAAATCCTACCGGTAGCTTTGGGGTCGAACGTGGACCAAGTCTTCCCAGTGAATAGATTCCAGTTGTTTCTTTAGTCACTTTAGTCTTTCTCAGTGCTGCTGAGCAGTCCCAAAAAATGTCGATCGCGATTTGTGATAACCCCTGATAGTGATAACTTGTACCCAGTCAGTATGATGAGATGGGATAGGGGTATTCTTTAAAGACTCATGCTACTACGACCCAGTATCTGGAATATGCGTGAATTTCCCAGTGATATGCGATTAATTCATATGAGATAGGATCACATAATTACGTTCAGCGTGTATATATATATATAAACCTATACATGACATATATATATATATATCTATACATATGTATATATATATATATCGATACATATATGTATATATATATACATACATATATACATATATATATATACATACATATATACATATATACATATATATATACATATACATACGCACATATTTATATATATACATATGTATATATATACATACATAGGTATATATATATACATACATAATATATATATATATATACATAATATATATATATACATTATATATATATATACATACAGTGTTTACATGTGGGTCATACATACATAAGATGGCTTATGAGTTAGCAACCCATTTACAGTCGATATGTATCTCATACTCAAGGATTATTATATATGTATACGTATGCGCATACCTGCTGTATGTAAATGGGCTGCAAACTCATATATGATGCAATCTTGAAAATTGGTGCACTCAAACCAGCTGCCACGAAATTGGTCCCTCATGTATGACACCGAAATGTATAGTACATAGATATATGCAGAACATAATTGTGGGATGCTAGCTATGCAAACTCATATGGACTAATCCACATGTCACTGGGATATTCATGGATATTCCATATATACATATTCTGGCCAATTTAACCATGGAAATTGCTCATTTCTAGTTGATGAACCCATTAAAATGGTGATTTTCCATGGCCTTTTGTATGTTTACCAGAGGGTAAGCGACTATTTTCCATCGTTTTCCATATTCCATAGAGATATATGGAGATGGGTCAAAACCTATTACAGTATCACCATATTTGGGTGAACAAACATCCATTAGCCAGCTATTTTAAGGTACAAAGGGTCCCAGGTTTTGACTCATAGCCATGTATATATATAATATATATATATATTCTAGCATGGGTTATAATATATATATATATATACACTATACTGTATATAACCATTATATATTCTAACATTATATACTATAAACCACTACCAACCACTATAAACCACTCAGAATTCCCGGGTCCCTTCTTTCGCAGGAAGATTCAGGTGACCTGCGATGGGATGCTGCCCAAGATGACCAGACGCTTGGGCGAACATCACGTCGCGACCGCTGTCAATTTGTGGATGATTTATGGGAAAATATTGGGATATGAATGGGATTTTAATGGGATATGAAACTGGGAGATGTTCAACTCTTCAACTCGGAAAATGATGGGTAAAACAGGTGGTTTTCATGATGGGTTAATGGATTCATGGTGAATCATGGAGGTATAACCAACAACGAATAGAAGATGAGGTTTACCACCCATAAAGCTGGTGATGACTTGGGGATGGTAAACATGGCATTGGGTTCATTAGAGATAAAGGAGATAAGGGGGTTGTGTTTTTATTTCTATTTTTAACCAATATTCTTCAGATAACTTTTTTTTCCGAATGTTTGCATGTAAAAATGGTGAACAGGATTAAGAGTTGGATTTTACCAGATTTTCATGGGTGAATCAGACTCGGTACTCTTTGGGACGAGGGGGAAGAACCATCATTCAATTCGATGTGATCTTCCAAACTTTTGGATTTTATCAGCAGTTCATGGGGTGTATTGGTTTCATTGATTAGCAGGTTATGATGTATTTTGTTGCTGTAATTCGTGAATATTGACGAGTTGATTAGATTTTTTAAATGTGTTGCTTCCAAATGTACTATACACCATTATTACACCGTTATTACACCATTATTACAACATTATTACACCATTATTACACCATTATTACACCATTATTACACCATTACTCAATGTTTGGAGGTACTATCTGAGGCTACTTGTAGGCATTTTGGCGGAAGCAATCGTTTGAACAAGCTAAACATTACTATTTTGCTTGCGACCTGATTGCCAGCCTCAAAAATGGCAAAGGTTTGCCTCTCGTCAAACAAGACGAAGTAAATCAGGGGATTTATGAGAAATCCATCAACCGTTCGGAAAATGATATGTAAATGGAGATATAAGGCGGTAAAGTCCTCCGGATAAAATGCTTGGTCTACATCATCCATAATCCCAGATACAAAAAAACATGTATGTCAAATCTGGATGAATCATAGTGACCTCAGGTCGTGACATCACTTGAGTAATGATTAGATAGCCCGGAATCATCCCCAAATTGCCGAACTGTTAAAGGTTTTTCAGGATGGTGAATTAATGTAATTCAGCCAGATCAATTGTCTAGTTCTTGTCTTGGGTTTGTTTAAGGTGTTTTTTCCTTTATATAATATGGGAACATGCACCATGACTGAAACTTCCATATGAAAGCAACAATGTAGGCTTATATAACAAACACAAATTGGGGAGGCACACCCCATTTGTCATAGCCAACACATCTTGTTTCTGCATGTTTCTACCTCCATGTGCATGTTGCTTGGATGAACATGAATTTACCAGCTATTTTGCTGTGAACACAAGGGAGGAATCGATTCATTGGAGGTACCTACGATATGTAAGGTCTATTTGTTGGGGCGAAATTTCAGAGGATATCCCCCCAAGTTCTTATGGCTTAAAGTAAAGGACTAACGTAGCTCCATTTTAGGATCCTGGAATATTTGGAATTCCCATTGACTGGTGACATGTTGCGCTTAATGCCAGCCGTACAATGGTGAGGCGAGTTGGAAAACACCGGCAAGTTGACAGTGGCGCAGTTTGATGCTTGGCACATCCTGGAGCCGGAAAGACCTGGCTGATAGCGAACCGCTAAGCATCAAGGGGTACTTTGTTGCCAGAAATAGGAAGAACGACGAATCAATTAAAACCATGTTTTGGCATTGTATATATTATATATCGGAAACCCATAAGCCATGTGGAAATGCTGTTGTAACCACCCCCCACAAAAATCCTCCAACTGGTCAGCAAAATGCCACTGAAGTGAAGACCCAATTTCCAATGGTCACTGGCTGGACATAGGATCATAGGGGTGTGTGTGTGTAACATCTAAATAGATGTAAAACTTATCCTTTTTCTTTTTCTTTCTTCTCTCCTTTTAATAAAGCAGTTTCGATATCAATTTCCGAAAATGGCGACCGGCTAAGCCAAGAACCGGAAGGCAGAACCTACAACCAGGTTGCACGGTTTCCACAATCTGATCAGTGGAATTTTCGAAAACCTTCTTCGACGATGATTGTATTTCTCACTTCTTGGGGACCTACTTGATTGTCATTTCGGAGTACCTTCTATTGGTCGACCTATTCATCTAGGATTTTTTGTTTTCTTGACTAACTTGCATGTTACAGGATTCAGTTCCTGATGGATCTCTTCAAAGATCCAATTTTGTCTAGTGTGTGTGTGTGTGTTAGTTCAAGAGCTTTGGGATCTTGGTCCTGTTTAGGACTGAACGATCCAAAATGCATGTGAGCATGGACCAACTTTTCCTTTGTGGATGAACATCCGTTTATTTACTCGCTATTTTCGTGAAAAAAAACAGGAATTCCATGGTTGATGTCGTTTGTAGCCTTGGTCGTTGTCTTGGAGCTCTTCATTAGAGTTAGCCTCCCGTAAATGGGAGTTCCATGGGAATCTCGTGAGAAGAGAATACTGCAAAAATCTCGGGAACATAAGAGGTACATCATGCGAGTGGAGATATCTTCCAAATATAGTAATCTGATACTTAAATCGTAGCCCCCAATCAAACAGCCTAGGGGTTTATTATTCCAGGGTTCACATTACACCTAGAGAGGTTACCCTCCAGTAATCCGTCGCTTGCTGGAAAATCTCCATGGCTAGTCCGAGGATTTCGCGGCACGTTTGATGACAGAGCTGATCAGAATCCGAACATGATCCTCCCGTAGAACCAAGTAAGCTTTAGAGGAGTAGTTTATGCAGCTAATATATATACGTACATATAATATATATATATATATAGACACACATCTTTTGCATTCTTTTGCAGGATATTCAAGATTAGCAGCGAAAATGGGATTTGTTTTCCCCTGTAAATGGACGTGTTTTCTCTGTTTCAAAGGGGGTTATCTTTCATTCCTATGTACATGGCGACTAGTGACTAGTATGATGTCTCCCTCTTCCGACACCAACCCTTTGGCACCGCTTCCTGCCTATGAGTCAAAATACAGACCTCTCAGACTCTGGGCACACAGATCAATGGACATTTCCGGCCATCCACTCGTTTTTTCTGGGACATCCAATGGCTTTCACACTTAACTTGTCACATGTAACACACACATATATATATATATAAATAATATACATGCACATACATACATGTATAGATGTATACATGTACATACCATCATCACCATCACCATCAGCATCGCCATCAGCCCCACCATCAACATTGCCAGCATCATCCTCATCATCATCACAATCATCCATGCCTTTCGTATCGTTACATCCCATGCGCCGAGGAAGCACTTGTCATGCCCCTGCAGATGACATCCAAAGAGGCCGACTTGGTAGTGAGAACCATGGGAATGAAACTGGCGAAATTCAGAACATAGGGACTAGGTAGTTTAACGTAGCTATTGAAAATGGCCATAGAAATAGTTGATTTACCCATTGAACATGGTGATTTTTCATAGCTATGTTAGTTTACCAGAGTGTACTTCAAAACCACGGAACTCCCCGGAAGAAGTTGCTTTGGAAGATTATTCACTTTTTGGGGTTTGATGTTGACTTCTGTTGGTTAAAACGAAGGGAAAAAAGGTTGGAACGCACGACGTGCTATTCCGAAGAGCGCAAGTCTTGGGATGGTTTAGTGGCAACTTTGACGTATGCTCAAATCAGGTTGCAATGCTTGTAAATGTCAAAGGCTTTCAATTTGGGTAATGATTTTGTTTGCATCAGAAATATACCCCATCATATTTTCTTAGTTTTTCTTAATCATTATGATATTGATTGACATTATCGTTATAACATTCTGAGATAATATGCGATGTCATCGTTTCCCCATTTATCATCATTTACCAGTAGCCAGTACACCAACCAAATCCCAATGGTTCTCAGCAAAATCCAATTCTTTTTGTTGGCAATTCATGCCCATTGGTCCACCATGGTCCACCATGGTCCACCATGGTCACTGCAGTTGTTCCAGGCGCTCTATCTCTTGGAAATCTTCAACAATGAGGACCTGCCCTCCCCCTTGGACACCCTGCAGGTCGCCCGGTCGCCGTCCTGGACTCCTGTGAAAAGCTGGGTTTTTCACTACAGATAGGAAAACCACAACGGGTCAAGAAACATGGGGGGTGTAACTGGCCAGAATTTTTTGTGATGTTTGGGTCAACAAGTAGTCTGGGAAAACTTGGGGACTTCAATACTTAACAATCTTTTGTTATAAATTTAGATCCAGATGGGGGCCCACATACCGACCCTGCTAAAAAAAAAGATGCAGCTAATCTAACATTATGTAACATGAGCTATGCCCGGCGTCGTTGTGCCATGGGAATGCTATGCCAGATTTTGTTTTTTCACCTCGCCGGAGACCTCTGAAGTCTCCCATACCCTCTGGATCCCTCTGGTATTTTGTTACATAACTATGATATCAATCCATACCCATATATAGATATTGGATATCAATGATATCCAATATCTATATATGGCTATGGATCAATACCTATGAAAATACCATATTTTTAGGGGGTTATTCACATCCATAAATCCCAGCTATTTTGATGTGAACTACAGGGGTACAAGGTTTTGACACACTGCCATATACCTACTGAATCATATTGAATATCTATTAATCCCATTGAGGCTACTTGGAGGGTCTAGGTATCAATCCTATTAATTAATAATCCACCAATATTGCCAATATGTACTATATCCCGATATCCCTATTTATGATCCCTATTGATAATCCCTCTTAACAGTCCCGTTAATCCCTAAGTATGTTCATATGTCCCCAGTATCTCCCAACAAGAATCTCTATTCATCCGATATTCATATTACTAATCCCCATGTCTATTATATCAAATCATATCCCTTTATGGAGGTTTCCTAAAATAGGGGTACCCCTAGCCTAAATCATCCATTTATAGATGGATTTTCCACTATAAACCATCCAGCTATTGGGGACCCCCACAAATGGAAACCTCCATGTAAACCCTACAGAGGAATTCCTACAGTGATGGCTGTTTATTAATTATTAGTGGTTTTCCCACTGGTTATTTCTATGGGATTATACATGCCATAAATGGGGTTAGCTCAGTACTTATACCTGTTCAAAGGCAATAATCCCTGTTATATCAAATTATATCAACTTATTCCATACCATATCACAATCCCTATATATCCCTATATATATTAATAATCCCATATCTATTGTATCCAACTGTGGGCCATATCATCTATTATATCCCTATATAAACCCTATATAACAGAATAATCCCTACAATGTGGGGCCCAAACGATATAAATTGGTTCATAAACCCCATGAACTATCGTTATTTGCGTATCATAAACCATAGTTAGTGATTGGAGTTATGTGCACCAACTTAGCGTTCTCGAACGGGGGCCCCCGCCCGCATTGTATGAATCATCCATGATTTCCCACTGGGATCCTCCAGCTCCACCACAGCCTGCGCGTTCCGAGACCCCAGCCATGGCCTGCGAAGATCGCCTGGATGACCTTCGCGATCAGTCCATCTTGGCGCCCATGGAGATGGCGGTGCCGGGCCTGGGGGAACAACTTGGAGAAACCGGGAAAGAGATGGAAAAATGATGGAACATGCATATTATACCATATTTATACCATATGATACCTGAAGTTAGGGATCTGATAGTAGTAACTGGAGTACATCCCCGAGCATAAGTTGTATGACAGCTTGCAAGTGAGGCATTGAGTCAATTCAGTTGCCAACCACCGAGCCCGAATTTAGATATCATAATACAAGTAGGGCCTACTAAGTACGGGAGTCTAGTGAGATTCTAGGAGAATGTGAGATGTATCATAATGCCATATGGCTATGGATCAATACCTATACATACCATTTTTAGGGGGATGAACATCCATTTACCAGCTATTTTGATGTTCACCAGGGGGATAGGGCTTTGACCCATCCCCATATCATAGGGAGCTTTATAAGTGCGAGGATTGCATCCTCCCATATTGTCTTTGTTCACATGTTTCCACTGTGCCAAGAGGACTGTTGGCTGCAGAAATCAGTTGCTAGTGCATGCGCCTGAAAAACGCTGAAGACCAACACCCAGTATTGTTGGAGAAATTGGAGGAATCCCAAACTTTGCATAGGTGTCGTATATGGCATGCCCATACTACCCCCCAAAATTGCATTGTAACGGGGAAAATTGTGATAGACCCTTGCATTTTGGGAATGCTCGACGTTCACATCCATACATTGGAACATTGGATGGTGACGTGACACAGGGGTAACGACTTACCCATCTGATCAACCCGTGGTGACCCCGTGACCCCAACTCCACACATATTTGGGGCGACAGTTGCTGAGCAATCAGTTGCTGAGGTGCAGGCATTGACGGCATACTGAGTGTGATGATTATATCAATATTTGTTCGCCTGGTCGGCGTTCAGGCGCAGACCCAGTCGCGCTGTCAAAAATGCGCGGATGATTGGGATGTTGACCCAGCTGGACCATCCAGCACTGGAGAGTGAACATGGAAAATCATGGAACATCAATGGGCCTTTGGATACTGATTTGCTGCAAGCTTGTGAATACTGGCCAGCATTTCTTTCAGAGACATCAAAAAAAAACTTTCTGACAACGTCAATTTCAAAATCTATAAGTCAAAATCCATGTGTTTTTGTGTTCCATATTTTGCTGTATCCAATCCCAATTTTGTGTCTGTGTCAGCCAACCTGAACAGCATCTTTGTTGCACCGAAACCGGTCCAAACCCAAGGCTCAAAGTCCAGTGCAGGCTGGTGCCTCATGGTGTCGTGGATGAGAAACTGACAACATGGTGGTGGGTTACTAAGCCATACTAAGCCATCAGATGTCAGACAATCCTATGTCCAAAGACTGTCCGGGTACTGCGAGGTTACCACAGAAATTCATGAAACAAAGGATTCGGGGGAAATCATATGAAATCATGCCCAAATGAGCCGAGAAAGACAAACCTTGTTGACTGTTCAATGTAGGAACTTATCAATTTATTGTAGATTATGATAACCCATGGTAAGGAAACCATTTTCAACGAACTAGTCTGAAATGGCACCACATTTTTCATCTTGATGAATGTAAGGTGAAACTATTCCAAGTTCGTGAATTATTCTAAATCCAGATGATACATAATAAGACCATAATTAATATATATATATATATGTATATATATATATATATATCGTATAATATATATATATATATACAGTGTATATATATATACAGTGTATATATATATATTGTAATATATATATATAGTTTAATATAGATGTATATAGTGTAACACACATGTATATTATATATATATAAATGGAATATGCTACATATTTGTACCTGGAGATATGCCAAGAATGGTCTGAAACTCTTTGGGTGGATCCCGAAACTTCAGTTTACAAAGGCCTCCGGGAATTTGTTAGCTATGGAAGCGCCCATGTAAAATCATTGAACAAAGTTGATCAGTTTAAATAGGTATTATATAGGTAGATGATCAGTTGACCTAATCTATTTATTACCTATTTAAAATGGTGCTTTTCCAGTTCGTGACATGTAAAAAATATCCCAAAGGGTAAGTGGTGCTGTGATCATCTCAATATCCACGGCTGCAGTTTGATTGGATGACTGGATGGCCCACAAAAAGGGGTGCAGGATGGTTGTCTCCAAGTTGGTTTATCTGATTTTACCCTCTGGTAAACTAACATAGCTATTGAAAATGGCCATAGAAATAGTGAGTTTTCCCATTAAAAATGGTGATTTTCCATAGCTATTTTGACATAACCAGAGGGTACCTGCTTGGTTGATGCTGACTCAAAATTTTTTCCTGCATCCTATTATTATTCTCAGCAGGTCTCAGCAGATTCACCCAAAAAATCCTTCCGTGAAACTCACGATCCATAAGCTCAGAAGCGAATCTTGGCGACGCCTAGGTGCCTAGGTGGTAATTATATGCAAAAAAAAACTTAGGCATGCTTAGGCCATCTTGGGCCTTAGACTACCCTTTTTCGGCTTGCGCAAAATCTCTAGAACCAAGGACACCATTGGTTCTTGATCACTTTCCCCACTAAGCCCAAAAGGTGAGATAATGAGATACTAGTGATCATATATATATATATCATATACACACATGTAATTATATTTATATACATATATATTATATTACATATTTATGATATAAGTCCCAATGTTATTCCCATAAAACTTGAACATATCGTCCCTAATATCTGCCACACAGAACCACTGGAGGATCTTCGGCAAGACTTGGGCTGGAAGATGGTCAAGAGCAAGGCGGATGTGAAGACATGGAGGATGTGTTGAGAGGATCATGGATGATCTGTTGATATTTGGGTATCGGTCAAAACCTACTAATCATGTGGTATAAGGGATGACCATCAACCTTGAGGTTCACTGGGGGTACAGGGTTTTGACACACTGCCATTTGAAGTACAACCGCCTTGTGTTTCACGAGGCCTGGCGCCCAGCAGCTCAAAGTGCTTAAAACATTTAAAAACAACCAACCCCTTTCGTTGTTTAGTTGATGTGTTTGTTCAAATATGGATCCAGAGGTTGATTCCAGTTGAGAGCGATGTCGGCCCCAAAATTTGGAAACTGCAGTTGCCCTGCAGCAGCTGTGGCGAAGAAGCTTCAAAACTCTTCCAAGCGAACGGTTTTGGTGTCAACTGGTCAAATTTCCAAGAGGATTTATAAGCATGTCTTTCCATCTTTTTGCCAAAGGAAGTCAGGATAGTTTTGACCCTGGATTTGTACATACCGTAATTGCTTTTGGGGGCAGATACCACTCAGAAAGCCAGAAATGGCTACTGAAAGTGAGACCTCCTCAAATGTCATCGCAACAATCAACCTCTACAGATTCCTACTTTCGTTCCCACTGCGTGGCCGTTTCTGCCCAGCTCGTTACGGGGGGCCACGGGACATCCACGCGATTCCCGCGACGTTTTGTGCGGCGCCGGGCAAGGGCAGCCGGGGCGTATCACGGGCAGTTCACCATGGCGGAACAGCTCGCGCGCATTTTCGGAGCCTTGAAGGGTGTAATCATGGGAGATTCAGGGGGTGATGGCTACAGTACCCCTAAATACCCCTAAGATCATCTAAAATCCCCATGGAAAACATGGATGTTTAGATGGGTACAGATGGGTACCCCTAAAATCCCCGAAGGGGTTTAAAACATTGATGTTCCCCAAGAAAGGACCATTTTATGATCAATATTGGTTTTGATGTTTTGGGTACCCATGTACCTCCCATTTTTGGGAAGCTGTCAAACAGCCATTTTTTTTTTAAACCACGAGTTTTGTTGAACGAGCTGCGAACCGACCGAGAAAGTTGCGACCGAGGAACAGAGGAAGATCGAGTGAATTGTCCCTTCTACTTCAAGATCGGTGCGTGCCGCAATGGCCACTGGGGATGAGTTTGGCTGGAGAGTTCATGGTCATGGTTGGTGGTGGCCTATTTAAGCCATCATTTCAAGGTATGTTGTCCCCATAGAAAAAGCGCTAGTTTTCCATATGTTTCCTGCTGATATTTACATGTTTCTTGGCCAAGACTAGCATTTTGGGCGAATAAACCGACTTCACAACAATCGAGTCATTGATTTTTGGATAAGGAGAGAAACCATTCAGGTTGGGGAACAACATTCAACATTTCCCTGGTCAATATGCTCCGGTTTTCTTCAATGTGTCAAACCCTATAAGGTCTCTATACGTATGTATACGTAGTATGTTATAACATGTTATAACATATTACCCTCTGGTAAACTAACATAGCTATGGAAAATCACCATTTTTAATGGGAAAACTCACTATAAATGGTCATTTTCAATAGCTATGTTAGTTTACCAGAGGGTAATTGTAACATCATATAATTGGGGAGTTCTGGTCCCTGGACTTGAATTAGATTTGTTAATCCCATGCCATGGGTGCTCTTACCTCATTTTCGAAGAATGGGTTTGTCTGGAAATAGGCTAGCCCTAAACCCATGGTATGAATCATAATTTTCCCATATTTTCCCTATTAAATGGCCTATGCACCATTTTCATCCATTTTCAGGGTTTCCTAAAATATTGGTACCCCAAACCATTGGTTTTCCCAATGATAATAAGCAATTTTGGATGATTTTCGAGATCCCCCACGACTTAGGAAACCTCCATGTGTGGCGCATCCCCATGTTGATCCATTCCTCTTAGGCGATCAGTGCAATCGCTTGCACAACCGTCCGACGATGAGTCAGACTTTGCTGCTGTCGCACATGTGCTTTGGCCATGCAAGGACTCCTAAGTTGCTTAGTTCTGTCGGTTTGCCCAGCAAGCAGGGACTGATCTCATCTACACACGGGCTTTTACAAGTGGGATGCATCTGTCGTGGTTTCACCATGAGAATTTTCTCCAAGCATGTGGGCTTGTTGCTTGCAATGTGTAAAAGGTGTGTCTCAGAAACCAAGCCAAAGGGGATCCCGAAAACGAAACTAATGGCTTTCAGTTTGAGTCCAATGCCTTTTACATGTCGTGCATTAGATATTCATCGCTCAAATCTTGACCCACTGGGAACATTTAGTGGCCTCTTGAGACAGCTAAACTTTGCGAATTTGTGAAAAATCTTCAGTGTTCATGTGATCTGGTGATTTTCATGATGATGTTGATGACAATGATGATGCTGGTGGTTGTGGTGATTATGTTTGCATACGGTACCAAGGGCTTTGTTTCTTTTTGTTTCGAAGTCTTGCTAGTGAACATCTCAAACATCTCAGTACAGATAGTACGGCTCTTTGTAGCTTTGGATGGTATATAATTCCTGCACAGCTGTTTGATTCAACAACTGGAGTTTGTGCTTCACCCAACGGGCCTGTGCTGCCGGGCATCCCAAGTCTTACTGATTGCTGGTTCCATGCTTCTGGTCCTCAACGTCCGAAGTATTGCACATTATTGGTGTCAAGTTTTATCCCAAGTTGGGAATGTTGCTTTATTCCAATGTCTTTTGAAATTCTGCGCGTTATATGGTCTTCTGACCCACAAAAGAATAGGGTGTTTGTCACAAAGAAGTAGTCCCACTTCCTTTAAATGCAGATTTCCTAAAATGGGGGTACCCCCAAATCATCCATTTGTTCATAGGATTTTTCATGAAATCAACCATCCAGCGATTTTTAGGGGTAGCCCCCGATGACAAAACCGGTTTTCAAGGAGGGTTACCTCCTTGGCGCGGTAGGTATCCCAATACTCCTGAATCCCTGGCACTGGCCAACGACGAGCCTTGGGATGATGATATGTATGACCGTGCACAGGCGCGCCGCGCGAAGCGTCGAAGCGTGGTGGGGCTGGGGATTGGGAAGTCTCCTTCGATGATTTCACCAAGAACTAGGGATATAGCAAGATATAGCAAGACATGGCTGATATCATATTTCAATGGATTGGTTCAAGGGAAAATCTACAGGAAACCATAGATTTTCCCAGTTATTTTTTGGGGTTTTCCGGTTAAAATTTTCCCTTAAACCAATCCATTGAATATTTATTTGGACTTTTCCTGGAGAGTACTTGAAGCTTTTGCCATCTTGATGAGATAAATTCACATTGGATGTGGCCACTCAGCTGACACACACTGACACCGACAGAGCGATCTTGAAAATAGGGCCTTGAATTGGCAGATTCATGGAGTGATTACTTCAAGATATATCCACTACATGTGTGTAAATATATATATATATATATGTAATATATATATATATATATGTAACATATATATGTATATGTAATATATATATATAAATATGATATAACGATGAGATATGTAATGTGCACAAATCATTGCATAGCACTTACTAGGGTTCATACCGGTGGTTATTTTGACGTAGACCATGATCATCTATATTGTATATATATACATAATATATATATCTATATATATATATATATTTATTTATTCTACAGAGACCTACACAGTTTTCCTTTCATTTAGTATACATTAATACACACCTTGGCTCCCCATCTCGTCCTTTTTGTTTTGAGGCACACTTGGAGGCGTTCTACGTGGAGGTTTTCTTGGAGTTGGCCAACTATGGTGAGATTGAGGAGTGGACGGACCTCATACCCTGGTTTGGTAAGGGCCACAGAATCAGTACATCCCCTATTGGTGCCCCTGGCTTTTTCTAGGTGTATATACTAGATGGGACATTGATGAACTGGTTGGTGGTTTCAAACATAATTTTATTTTCCATTTCATATATGGGATGTCATCCTTCCCATTGACGAACTCATATTTTTCAGAGGGGTAGGTATACCACTAACCAGTGTTCTTTTTTGTCCTTTTGGCTACGTGGACTCAGTTTTTGTAAAGAACGACCTCAGTAGCATGCAGTTCAAGCCGTCATCCCAGCGCCTTGGGAGCTTCCATACTGGTAGATTCTTCTACAGGCTGTACACATTTCAACATATTCACAATGTGTGAACTTTGATCTGAACTGCCCCCATATTCGCAAGTTTAGGTCTATGATGGTCTATGAATCTTACATCCCAAACCTGGTTTAATGCCAATTTTGAAAGGTCATTTCACCGCATTTTTTAGCGGAGCTTTCCTTGAGATTGTTCAGAGGTGTTCACCCGGATACATCCCGCCTCACGACAACCTCGCCATAACTGGTGGTGAGTAAGGGAAAGCGCTCGGAAGTTGGCTCGTGTCAACGTTGAAATTTTGGGAATGATGAAAACATCTTGCCCAGATTGGAATGTTATCGTATGTTATCTAGACATATAGCAAAATGATACGATAAGCACTAAAGTCTATTTTGCAATCCCTGCTTTCTGCAATCTCATTGTTCCAATTTGCCCAGATGCACAGAGAATGGATTGCAAAATCAGCAACTACTGGCTCAAGGTGGTTTCACTTGGCTCAGTCAGGGTTTCATCCCCCAAGAGTCGGAAAGATCGAAACCAAATCTGGTTGGTGGTTTGGAACATGTTTTTTTCCCCATATATTGGGAATAGTAAGCCCAACTGACTCATATTTTTCAGAGGGGTGGCGAAAAACCACCAACCAGAAATCGACTTTCGTATTTTTCCTAGGTCTGTTTAGGCGGCTGCCAGCTGGTTTTTTTCCCAGGAATTCCACGTATTTTTTCATGGGACAGGCAGTTTGGCTGTTGAGCTGTCACAGGACTTGGTCGTGGTGGATAATCTTTGTGACCATATGATTGGCAATGTCTACGTTGCTTGGCTGATTTGGCTGGGGATGGTCACCGACCATCACTGTGAGACTGGCTTAAAGGCCACTGAGCTTTAAATACCCTTTGGCTATTTAACATAGCCATGGGAAATCACCATTTTTAATAGGTAAACCCAGGTAAACCATCTCTATAAATGGGACATTTTCCATGGCTATGTTAAATAACCAGAGGGTAATATTTAAATCAAGGTTTCCTAAGTCATGGAAGTAGCCCTAAATCATCCATTTTTGCCAGGGATTTTCCATGAAATTAACCATCCATTTTTGGGTACCCCCATTTATGGAAACCTCCAAATAGGAGTCATCCTTGCTTTGGTAGGTTACTCTACTGGGATTTGTTCTTCCCATGGAAGAATCACAAATCAGACCTGTTAAACAGTTTGTTGTCTTTCCTTTTAAAGAAGGGTATGTAAGCTTGTAGCGGGATTCTTCATCGGCCTTGAGATGTCCTAAAGTTTGGGCAAAGTGTTCTTTCGCCGCAGCCGGAGAGTGTCTCTGGCCGCTGTAGGCCGCTGTAGACTTTGGATGGAGACGCAGAATCACTTGTGAAAATCGATTCTTCTATACCCTCTGGTAATTTAACATAGCTATGGAAAATGGCCATTTATAGTGAATTTTCCCATCAAAAATGGGATTTCCCATAGTTACGTTAGTTTACCAGAGGGTAGTCCTCCATGCAATCTGCCTCCACATACTGGAGTAAAGTGTTGGGTGCCAGAAAAGCCTCGTCAATAGACAGTTGGCTAATCCACAGTACATCAAAGCTGGTGCCTCAGTGAAGATCATGGGTTATACCTACCAACTAAGCATATTCAAATTGGGACGATGATGAGAAAGCATTGGAATTGGGGGTAAATGAACCCTGCATGTTCATTTTCAGCCAACACAACTGGTGGCTGGTTTCAACAGTGGGGCTGGGGCCCGCCCCCACCCTGGCACCGCCGGGCCGGGCGCCATGTCGTTTGCCGTGGCGGAAGCTGCGCACAACGTGTCGTCCTTTCTGGTGCCGCATCAAAGCTCCGAAGATTTGATGCAACAGGCTGGGTGTCAACGGTGTCAACCCCTTCCCCCTCTAGGAATCCCCTAACAAGTTGTAGAAGAGGTTGATTTCATCACTGTCTATTTTTTCTGCAAGTTGCTGTAGTATATCGGAAAAATACCCCCTGAAGGTCGAAAAATAGGGGGGTCTTTGATGGTACTTGTATTTGACATGAACGGAAAGGGGTTAATAAACCAATCAACCAACCTCAAATTTTGCTCAATTCCTGAACCGTTGGTCATCGGGGGTACCATGTCACTAGCAGATGACATCACTATTGGGGGGTACCCTCCGACTTAGTCAACCAAATGCAGGGTTGACACTATGAGGCAAACTGTAAACCCCAATTATCCGGCGAAATTTGAGCAGATGTATATAATATATTATATATTATATACCCGATATATCCCGATATCTTATGACCATATTAATCGGTGAAAGCATGATTAACTGAATCACAAGGATTCAACTTGAGTCTTTTCTGGAAAAAAAACATATCGCGACCCTCGCCTCCCCCAGGGCGTGCCTGCCCGGGAAGCACGACGGAGAAGTTTCTTCCGCACTTGGTTGATGGAGAGGCTGTCCACATTTCTAGAGCTGATCTTGACTCTTGGGCTCCAGGTGTCGAAGATCCGCCAGGTTTCCCCAAGAGTTAGTTATGTGCGTCAACTTAACTATCACACATCAACTACATATGCCATTCAATCCCATTAAATCCCATTTTTTCAAATATGTTTTTTTTTCATCTTTTTGGTCGAAACATGTTAAAAACCACCATTTTTCCTATGGTTTTTCTCGGGGTTCCTGTCCTGCCGAGGATTTGGTCGGTGTTGATCCCTGTGTTGGTGGCACTGCTCCTGGGCCTGACGCTCTTCGTGAGTGGCGTCTGCGATGCCATCGGCGGCAATGAGGCCACGGTGGTCATCACGGATTTTCTCTTCAGTCACCTGACGGACAAATGTGATCAGCCCGTGGGGACCTTGGCCACTTGGATTAGTGAAAAATGGTGTTTTTTTTGGGGGGGGGTTGATTTATTGAAAATGGTGATGAATCATATCACTATATGGTTGATAATAGTCATAGTGATTGATGATGATGATCAGTGATAGTTGGTGGTGACTGGAACCATGGATTTTTATATGACTTTCCATTCAGTTGGGAATGTCGTAACCCCAACTGACGAACTCCTGGATCAGTGAAGTGTATCCATGGTTGGCGGTGACTGGAACATGGCTGGATTATGACTTTCCATTCGGGAATGTCGTAACCCCAACTGACGAAGTCCATGATTTTTCAGAGGGGTTGGTTGCAACCACCAATCAGATATAGATCAATATAGGTTTTTGTTTGATCCCAAGCACCTTGCGTTAAGATATGTTAAGAACCGTCAAGGTGGGCTAAGTTAAGATATGTCAAGATACATGTTGATACCCCAACTTTTTTGCCATGCGGAATGCGGAATCGCACCAGAGTGTTTTTGGAGTTTTTCGGTATCTAGAATTGACATGAATTGACATGAATTGACCATGTGGTGAGCTCAATCCACCAGAAACTGGCAAGTTCTGTATAGAAGATTCGTGCTTTCTGCTGGGGGACTGGGAGCTCCGTTTAACGGTGCTCCTTCTATCCAAGGTGATCATCTTCTGGATCTCTGTCTTTTCAAAGCTGATTTTCATTGTCTTGTGGGATCGTTTCAACGAGATTCCCGAATGCGATTGCTGCAGCAGCAGATGTTGCCGCTGCTGTCGCCGCTGCTTCTACTATTGTTTCTTAGATTCACTTTGGATCTTTTTCCCTATGGACTATCCATGACTAGTCACTAGAAATGAGAAAATTCCTAGATGATAATTTCTCCCCAAGTGACTATACAGGGTGGCCCCGCAGTATTCCCCAGTAACTATAATATAATATAAGTAATATCTTCTATAAAGCCCAGTTAACCAAGTTATGTGCGCCAACTTGGCTATCGTAAATGGGGGCACCACCTTGTACACATAGCCTACATAGTCCAGATGGGTGCTTGAAACACCAAATCCCACAAGCATTTACGGGAAACCTCTATGGTTTGTGGGGGTGCAAAGCATGGTTTCTGTAGAAAATCCCTCCAACCATCCATCAACCCCAATGACCAACCTATGTTCTGAGAAAGCGAGCTGACAGGGTTTCTGCAACCCATTCGGACCGGCGGATGATGGCCAGAAGGGGGGGGAAGATCGGAAAGTTGACATCTTATGATATCTTTATCTAGCCATTTCTCCCCCCCAAAAAATCATGGGCTGTTTTTTGGAGCAACATAGGACATGATTTTTGGACGTTGGGCAGCCAAGGTCTCACCACTCCCATGGTCTTGTTCGAGTTCCTGTGGCCTGCGACCACCTTTGTCCTGTTGTTCCTAGCACATGACTGCACTTGGCAGGTCAAGGCTAGTGCTTGGGTAGTGCTGTCGCCCTTCATTTTGGAGGCGTGTGGTGAATGGCTGGGTTGATCTTGAACACACATGTTTTGATGGCGCCAGCGATTTTGAATGGCATTTCTAGGCAATGATGACAATATAACTGTACCTATGGCATTATATATAGCTTATATGTTTTATTTTGTTGGGCCTTGTTGGCAGCCACTTTTGGAGGATTTTGGGCTCTTGGGAAATGCCAGGTCTTGGGCTTTTTCCTCTGGCTCACCTGGGGTCCTTGCCTGAAGCCCATCTTGTGGTGCGTGGGTCTTCTGACGGATCCCGCCAACCTGGCTCGGAGCTTTACCAGAATCAGGTATCGGCCCGAGACCTTCAATGATGAGACACTCGGACGGTCGGACCTGGATATTTTTTAAAGGGGATTGTTCCATGGAAAAAACCCACAAACAATATCAACAAATGGGGAATTCTCCATGAAACATGGAGATTGAAGGTTCAAGCCGATGGCTTGAGGGTCATTCCGTAAACCTGTGGGTTCACATTGACCATATCAAGTTTTAATCCAAGGTTCAGCATCAAAATGGTGAGATTCCTTGGGTTTTGCAACCGTGTCAAATCTGTTTGTCCGAAAAATGGGGGATGGCCCCGATTTTATCGCTGTTTTATAGGGGAACATGATGATTTTTCATCCATGACCAACATTAGGGTACGCCATTTTCACAAAAACTCAAATCTTGTTGCAGCTTTCATCCCAAAGTCTGGGATGATTATCATTTCTTTTTATAGGCTTGGGGTAATCGTGAATCTAATGGTTTATCATCATGCTTCTCGGTATTTTCTGGCCATTTCCGGGTTTACTCAACTTCTGGGACAAAAAAAAGTACTTTGGGAATCTGTTGAAACCAAATGACCAGGTTTGTTTGATTGGTGATGTGTGAATTTTCCAGGGCATTCCTCAGAAACATATGGAAACCAAAGGTGGGCCACTTTGCTGAACCAAGTGATCCAAGTACCGTATTCACTGCAATTTGGGCTGGTGCTTTGGAACCCCAGGAGTTCCATATAGATTTTGCGGACAGCCACCAAAAAGATTCTGCGAGACCCTCAGAAATAATTTCTATCACCAATGCAAACCGTAACCCATTAACGTAGCTTCAAGATCCTTAAGATCAAACGGAACACAAATTAAGGAAGATATTTTGATGTGTCTTTTAAACATTGGGTCCATTTGGGTCCCCTTAGCCCATCTTAGCCCGAAATCAGAAATCTCAGGACTTACGCCTCAAACTGTGCCATTTGTTTGGTGGACTTTGCTGCACCCGATGACATCGCCCTGGCTCCCTGTGCCAACGGCCGGCACGTCTTTCACCGTAGCTGCTTGGCGAGCTGGATGCGCACCGCACAGACCTGTCCGTTGTGTCGCAGTCCGCTCAATCCCAGAAGTTCTCAACGCGGAACAGCAGAGATACCTGGACTTTATGACTTTGGTATACCCTCTGGTTATGACTAACATAGCCATGGTATAGCTGGCCCATAGAAATAGATGGTTTACCGTTTTTAAAAATGGTGATTTTCCATGGCTATGTCAGTTTACCAGAGGGTAAATTTTGTTTGATGGTTTTCTCCATTGGTTGATAGGAGATAGACAAGTTCGAAAGCTGGCTTTTTTCTAGGGGACACATCATGGAACTAAGATCCAAAAATATGTTTCTATCTTTCTATTGGGTTTCTATAATCCACTGGGAATTGGAGAAGCTATACTCTTTTTTTAGGGGGGCCAACCAGTGGAAAGTGCCAGGATGGAAGAAGCTCTCGCGTCATGATTCTCCCATCTTCCCAAAAAAACGTCCCAATGTCATCTGCAAAATGGCATCGCATTTGAGAAAACCAGCCATGGGGTCTATTGATCCGGAGTTTCCGTCGTCCTTCCAGATGTCGCCTGAGCAATTGATGCCGACAAGATGTCGACGATGTGGACGGCTGATGAAAGAAGCCGTTGAGGAAGTTTGAAAGGGTGAATGTTTGATATGTTCAGAAACCATAGCCCATACCCTCCCAATATCACATATATACTGTATATATATATATTAGATATAATGATTATCACGGGTCTTGGGTGATGTTTGGTTTGAATGATTTTGAACGGATAATATTATATATATAATATATAATATATAATATAAAATATAATATATAATATATAATATTATTTAATATATATATAATATAATATATAATATAATATATAATATATAATATAAAATATAATATATTATATATTACATAATATATAATATATAATATATAATATATAATATATAATATAATATATAATATATAAAATAATATATAATATATATTATTTATAGTATATAATATATAATATATAACATAATATATATAATACAATATTTAAGTATAATATATATATAATATATAATATATAATATAATATATAATATAATATAATATAATATATAATATAATATAATATATAATATAATATATAATATGATATAATATATACTATAATATATAATATAATATATATATATAATATGATATATATATATATAGTAATATATATATATATATTGCAACCCTCTGAGCTCGTCAGATATAGTTATGTCATGGTTACATGGGGTTGCAATATATATATACATATGTGTACATTGGACTAATTCACATGGTTGCAAAATAGTTGACATAACTAGTTCGCCAACTGACTCAAGGGTCTTCCCTGCATATGTTGCACAACTAGCTAAGTTTTAAAGGGGTCCATATATAGCTGGGGTTCCCATATCATTTTTTTTTTTTTTATTGTGCCCATAATTCTATAGCTTATTTGAGAGCTTCATATAATCTATCATATTCTATGCCCCCAAAATAATTAGCTATAATATAATATAATATAATACAATATAATATAATACAATATAATACAATATAACATAATATAATATAATATAATATAATATACTATACTATAATATAATATATATTCATAATATATATATATACATAATATATACATATACATAATATATATTATAATATATATATAATATTTTAATATATAATTATAACTATATATATATATATTTCCTGGTGGTTTCTCCCACAGGCGAAAAACCAGGGGGGGGCTGTTTTTTCAGGTGAAGTACTACCACGAGGAGGATGCCGAACGCGCCCTGATGAAGCTGACAGGCTGCGGTTCGTTGGGTATAATTTGTCGCTAAACGATGGTTATGTCCATGGGATTTCTTGGTGAGGTAGTTAGGTTTTGTTTTTTACCAGCAAAAGTTCGAAGGGGGTGATTTCATGGTATTTTGTGAGATTTTATGGGACTAAGCTAGCTAAGTTGGTTAAGATAAGTAGATTCGTTGTGTTGGGTTTGTGGTGGATCATGATATATCGAACTAGTTGGATGGCCCCCCCATAAATCAGACTGCTCATGTTGTGGCTTAGAATGATTGCCATACTAAACATTTGAGGCTTTGATCTGAAGAAGGTAAGTGTTCTCGTGGAAAAAAAAAAAGGACGCCAGTTCTTTGCATCAATGCACGTCCAAAGTGGTGCATTGCATGCTTGGCCAAAATCTTTTGATTTGGCCGCTTGGCCAAATATCTTCAAATATATCTACTTGTGATGCTTGAAGAACATTCTCTGTCCTGCGACTTTTTCAAGGTGCAACCCACAACCCCCAACCCCATCCAAAAACCCACCCTTGCTGGGAGGATTGTCACCTCAATCTTTTTTGTTTACAATGTGGTAAACCCAATGCCATCAACAATCCCAACAATCACCATTTTTATGGGTGGGATGAAAACAATCCACACATGGTAGTTGTTTATGGCAGCCAGGCTTTCCCATGTTATCGCCAAACAAGGTCCAGGTCACCCCAGGGATGGAAAAACGCGAATGCCATGCCGTGTTTTGTGGGCGACACAACTGGGGTTATGGCACTGTTATGGCTCAATATTTTAGTTCAGAATGCCAGAATTCATAGAATTCCTGGACAAAAACCCACAAGTGTCGCAACCGAAAAATCATATTTTGCCCTATCCTGCATTTTGGGACACACCCAAACAATGATTAAGAACATGGATATATATATATATATATAGATGGATGGATGGATAGATAGATATAGATGGTTTGCCAGTCACCAACCCCATCTATTCTTTGTTCCGAAACAGTTGGGATAGCGATCGCCAGCTCAAATGTCTTTACTATTCGGTAACAAATGGCAGTTGTCAATGGGAATATCATCTACAAATAATGATTGTCCCTTTCCATGTTTGATTACCGGCGGGTATTTTCAAACTCAGGTCGCGACATCACTTGAATGGTGAGTAGGATTCTTGGTATCCCTAAATGACCAAGATAATCAGGTTGGTTAATTCTCATAGTCTACCTACAGATTGAATATATCTATATTATCTATAATGTTGGTTCTTTGTTGGCTATTATGTTGATTAGGTCACCATCAAACAACCAATTACAACAATTACAACCACGGCACATCATAATGGAATCCAGCAATTGGACCCAACACTATCCCAGATATGCTTCAACCCTATACTACAGGATGGTGCCCCCCCAGTTATAAGTTGGTTTATAAACCCCATTAACTATAGTTATATCATGTTATATCTGCCATAAACCATAGTTATGGGAGTTATAAACCAACTTAGCTAACTATGGGGCACCACCTTGTATAACAAACATTGCTGAAGCCTTTCCAACCGTCCAAAAAATCACCGGCCCCAAAAAAGACCTTCGGACCAGGCCGTTTCTACAGTGGCAAGTTGATCCAAGCCGAGTACACCACGGTGAGCGATTTCCGTGAGGCGCGTTGTCGAGCCTTCCACGAAACGCGCTGCAATCGTGGCGCCTATTGCCACCTGGTTGGGACGAATGGCTGGCTTGGGAAAATGGGGGTTGTGACGATTTCGGGCACCCGAAATCATTTAGTAGTTGGTGAATGTACTTAACATCTGAACACTTAAGGATTATACATGTTTAGCATAAGTAATATTGTTTAACAAAAGTCAAACTAGGTTTCATAATATATCCATGGTTAGATGGGATTATGAACCAACAAAGATAGCTGGGGAGGCCGTACCCAAAGTGGGGCTGCATTTGCAACTCAAGTAATCATGGCTACACTATAGAGAGCCAGATGCACGTACCTTCCCTCCCCGATGTTTTTAAAACAGGGGACACACCCTCAACCTGTTGCCCCCGCCAAAAAAATCAATCCAAACTAATACTTTCGCAATTTTCCATGTTGTTTCACTCAAATCACTTAAATCCATTGATTGCCCAGGCAATTTCATGCACATCAAGCACATTCCCCGTGCCATCAAGCGTCGTGTTGTCCGAGAGATGTACGATGACCATCCAGAATACCTGGGGCAAACAGTCTTTTGGCAGCACCTAAAAAGGCTGCAGATGGGTGAGAGTAGCATGTGGAGGTGTTTGGTGCTCATGTACTAGTGGCTTCCCTTCCAACTGGAGTTTTCCTAAAATGATTCGGGGGTACATCCGAGGCATTGGACCTAATGACTTAGTATTGAACCCCCTCCAAAAAAATTGCAGATACCTGCTGAACCGTTGTGAGTCTTGGCAGAATGATAGGACATACAAAAACCGTAAAAAATGATATGCAATGATGATGTTTTAAAAGTACAACAGATACAGTCATGGTCTAACTGATATAACGTAATAATAAAATGTAATAAATTTACTGACTTGGTCAGAGGCAAAACACCAAGAACTTGGATGTTACCCTCAAAAATCAGCGATTCACGAAAACTCAAGAGCACACTCAAGTCATACGCCCAATTTCTAATAGTCCCAGAATTGAAGGGAGAAAACTGAAACTGGAAAAACTGGAAAAACTGGAAACGGCAACTTTTATTTCATGGTAAAGACCATTTTTTTTTCTTCAGATTTTCCCAACGAGACATCCATTTTTCGACGCATCCCCGAGGCCAAGAAGTCCAAGAAGGACAAGGACAAGGACGACTGCTGGGATGACCATAAATCAATCACCCAACTGGACCATCGCACATACCCGGCCTGGTAAACCAACAAAAAGCTAATGAACATGGCCATAGAAATAGTGGATTTACCCAGCTATAAAATGGTGATTTTCCATAGTTATGTAAACGTTCACCAGAGGGTATGTTTGGCTGTTTTTTTGATGGACATGGTGCTGTTTTGTGGTGATGGATCCTTGCATTTATTGATGTTATTTGCCAGCTTATCCTCGTATTTGGTGCTGATTTGCGCATCAAGAAATCGTACAGCATTGGTGAAGTTGCGAGGATATGACGAACTTTTTCTAGATCTTGGAAGCAAGGTTTTGAGGTACCCTCCGGTAAACTAAGACTTTGCTATGGAAAAGCACCATTTTGTTAGCTCGGTAAATCATGTTTTTTTTCATGGCTTCCAGCTTCCAGGGCTTCCAGTTCGCGAACATCCCTGAACTTCTTGGGGAATCCACCCGGAAATGAGTGACTTGTAAACGAGCGTTTACTGTGACTTACCGTTAGGTTCATTCCAATTGTTGGGTTAGTGTTAGTGGTTTAAACAATCATTTATCAGTTGGAAGAAATCTTGCTTCAGACTAAGTTCTATCAATTTCATTCAATTTCCATCATGTTTTCGATCATCAAACTATTCGAACAGACCATTCGCTTCGCCGCAGGAGCGCCGTTCCCGCTCCCGGCGCCGAGACAAGGAGAAGAAGGTGCCGGGACGGCCGGGCACGTCGGGGTCGTTGAACATTTAGTTGGCCATAAGTATATGGGTAATAAGAAAAAATGGGGTCGAAATATATTCAACTACATTGTTAAGCTGTTTATATAGTTATAGTTATATAATTGTTGATTACTTAGACTATAGTTACTAATGCCACTAACATTGTATAGTTACCATGGCTAATATTTTTACGGCCAGGTGCTGTGTGTTGCCCGGAAGGTTCAAATGGCGTTTAAACATGTTTAAGCATTATCCTTCAACATGCTCAAACACCCGCGCAGGGCCAGTGCTTTGAGATTTCCCAGACGACGAACCCTAAACCCTAAAACCCTAAACCATCCTAAACCCCAAAACCCCAAACCCAAAAATCCCAAACCCTAAAACCCTAAATCCTAAAACCTAGGCTCTGAAAGCTTTGAATCCTAAACTGGAAAACACTGCTTATACGCAGTATTTTCTGCAATCTCTCCTATCATATATTCGACAGCACGATATTCTCAATGTTAATGTCTGGGCAACACACGGCGTCTGTGGGTATTTTTAGTGATGGTGCTGTGAGTGAACCCCCCCCGCAAATCTTGACAATGATTGATCATGAATCTGGATAAAATTGATCACGACCTCACGTCGCGAAGTCAATGGAATGTTGGTTTATTTGGAATCATCCTGAAATGACCTCATTTGAGGTTAGTCAATGATTATGATTCACCGGGAAATTTGCAAGTCCCTCTTTGAATTGCCATCAATTAGTTGTAAAATCGCAGCATGTTTGGGCACACCCCGTTGGACAAGCAGGGGTCCGCATAATTTTCCAGATATTTCTCATGGTCGGGGGACTTAAACATCACACAAAAGTGGTGGCTGAACAATACAAGTACTCAACCAATTTAGGTGATGGTACTGTAGTAGAGACTACAAGGAATCCTGGGTTACTTGAATTAGGCGAGCTCGTGAATTTTCGCGAAGTTGGATAGAACCCATGAATTCATATGAATTCAATGAATCCCCCCTGGATCTTCAAGTAGCACTTTTTTCGGTATTTTTTGCCGGGATGGACAGAAGCGTGCCTTGGTTAGTTGGCCAGTGGCCATCCCAAAAAAAAAGGGTTTAAAACTGGCGACCGAAGCCTGTCCTCCCGAAGCCTGGAATCATGGTTTAGGGAAATCACTGTCCAAACGGCCGCTATGATAATTCATAATATTGAAATATCTTATGTCAATTGGATGAGTTGCAAGATTCCACATGGTTCCCTACAAAGAATCAACATGAAGTGGGTGATTTGGAAGGTTGTTCCATGATTTCCCTACTATAAATCGCTCAAAAAGACAGCCTTTTCTTCTGGTCCCTTGGCACAAGGGTGGTGCCAACTAGTTGTAAGTTGGTCCATAAATGTATCATTGGCTACCCATAGATAGATACATTATCTACCATGAACCCAACTCAGACTAGTCAGAAAAACAACTTTGCCAACTAAATCCCATTAAATCGGATTAAATCCCATGAAATCCACTAAATAGCATTAAATCACCATTATCGCTGGTAAACATCTCATAAAATTGCCAGGAGAAGGACCGCGACCGCGACCGCGGCGAGCGCACGGACGCTCCACCTGCTCGACAAACTTCGCAGGAGCGTCGTGCCATGATCGCTTCCTGGAATGCAGAGAAGGAGACTTGGCGGGAGAACTTCGTGAAAAGTGCGAAAGTTCTATGGTGAATCATCAAATATCGTCTAACCATAATGGGGAAATGTGTTTTGTTTTGGTGTAGGAATATTATGATCTTCGTGGGTGAAGTCATAGATAAGGTTTTCTGTATCTTTAAGATAGGGTCAACTAACAATACTTATTCATTACTGATGTTATTACTAGACAAGTTGTAGCGGTTTGCCCTAGGGCAAACACACAAAAAGATATGGAAAAACAATGATTTCCTACATAATAACTAATATATTCATAAGTATTCAATAGTATTCATAAGTTCATAAGTAATAAACACTCCCCTTTCTATTGTTTTTTTTTGTGGGTAAGCTTTAGATGGGAAGATAGGGTTAACTAACAATGGGAAACTTGGGTCTGTGTTGATTTCAACCATAGATAGGGTTTGTGTCGGGGTACATATTGATAGTTGTTTATGGGGTTTTATCTACGCAGTAAAGGAAGAGACTTGGCGGAGGGGATGCTGGTTTATTTATTTTTTTTAATTTTTGTGGTTTAAGCATCACATAACCATCATGGGGATGTGATGGGATATGATATGGGAATATGGGATATAGTTATATTTGTGTATTATGTTATTGCAATTCAGCCAGATGTATGCGGATGGCATCCGCATTCTGTGGATGATATGGGTTTGGTATCTGACTTAAAGGGGGGCTGGGTACCCAATAATAAATGCTGTTTTGGTATACAGTATCTTGATGGGGAACATGACTGAACAGGATACAACTCGTGGCAAACCAAACATTATAGGCCTATAATATGGAATGTAATATGGGATATAAATGGGATATAAATGGGATATAAATGGGATATAAATGGGATATAAATGGGATATAAACATATATATATATATACTCTGGTATATGACATGGCATTTGATATCAAAGATAAAACCAACATTATGACTGGTAATTGGGATAGCACTCATCACAACTTGGTGGCCTTAGTGGCGAAGTTGGTTTATAATAAGGTTACAGTTACCCTCTGGCTAAAAAACTATGGACAATCACCATTTTTAATGGGTAAATCAACTATTTCTATGGCCATTTTCAATAGCTATGTTAAATTACCAGAGGCTAAATAGGGTTTAGGCTTTATGGTAGATACAATATCAAACTAGTTCGACATGTGCAGACCACCAACGCTAATGATTGTGAGGAACCACAATGGGAACTCCCCAATGGAGGCTTCAACGTTTTTTTTTTCTCTATACAACTATATTAATGGAGGTTTCCTAAGTCATAGGGCTACCCCCAGTCATCCGTTTTTGCCTGGGATTTTCCATGAAATAAACCATCTATTTTTGGTATCCCCCATTGATGGAAACCCACCAGGGGATGGGATTCATGGCAACCATGGTGGATGCTATCAACATGGGTAGACATTGGCGTTTGGGAAACTGACTATCAACTATTTGTATGCAAAGGTGTATCTAAATATATATATATATATATGTATATATATGTAAATATATATATATATATTATATGTATATATATATGTATATATATATATATATTATATTTTATATATTTGTATTTAAATATATATATATACACACACTGTAACATATATATATATACACACTGTATATTACTGCATATAATGTAAGGCATTCCCAACGTTACTGAGAGTATGACCATATACTATGGTAATTACTTCTGAATGTGTTGCCCCTGAAAACTCCGACGGGCGAGAAGATATTCAACATGGCCATGGTTCGGCCTTGTGTAGGATCCACAGTCCATTCCTGAACGTTTTTGGAGTTATGATACATCCTTTCCAGTTTAGGGGTATATGCAAGAAATACCAATGACCGCACATAGAGGATAGTTTATGACTAGAAATCATATATGAAATCATTGTGGATCCCCCACATAAACCCGTAGAAAATCCCAGCTGTACCACTCAGATCCGAGGAAGGCGGAGCTGTGGCATGAGCTGAGAGATGAAGAGTGGCACGCGAGAGTTCGTTGAGTTGAACATTGCAAGGGTTGACAAGTGGGGGACATAGCTATAGTATTTGTATGGATTATATATATATAATTATATATATATATATATACCAACAAACATAACTTGGGGGGCACCCCACATCGCCTGTGAATTTCCGTTCAGCCAGAGATCTAATCCTCAGATCTTCGCGTGTGTCACCAGCTTTTGATACACCGAGTTCGCAGCGGGAGCGCTGAAAATCGGGCAGCTGGGCATCGCGGCATCGGTTTCGTCAACTTACGAATCGCTCCCGGTGATAAAGGTATACTACTGGCTTAGAATAAAACTGGCCTATATAACTTGGGTACTTGTGCGGTTCATCCCATTTGGTAAGTAGGTTACAAACACAGTTATAGGATGTTATAAGTGCATACATTGGATGACCGTTTTTTTTCCCACTAGCAAAACAAGGGATGTAACCTTTCTGTTTGGTGGTTTGGAAATGTTTGGAACATTTTTTATTTTTCCGTACATTGGGAACAATAATTCAAACCGACTTTCATATTTTTCAGAGGGGTTGAAACCACCAACCAGCTTTATTCTAATGAATGTTTTTTCGGGATTTGGTTGGACTAAGAACTTCCCACTTCGGGCGATGTTTCAATACTTGTGGCTCCACTTTTTGACCGATACAAAATAAGGACCTCAAACACCAATGAGTCTTTTTTTTCGCCTCAGTGCAGGTGATGCCTGGTTTGATTTGGACATGTCTTTATTGGACATGTCACCATCATTTTTTGCTGTTTATAGTGATTACAACTGGGATTTATAATACAACTGCGTGGGATGATGCACCCATCTATCTGAGGGAGCGGTGAGCCATGACAGCTCACATGTGAAATCCACATGTTTTTTGTGAAAAAATCCAAACATGTGAAACATGGGGGATTCCCTACCATTCGAAGCCTTGCTTCGCTTGCGGCAGGTGGTGGCTGGTGCTACGGCCGAGCTTTTTTGTGCCTCGGATTTAAGGCGGTTGGATGCTACGGTTGGATACCGATTGGATACCGAGAGGAAGAGATTCCGGCGAGCGGGGAATATGAATCTGCTTTCAAGACGTTTGTGTAAGACGTAGACAGTGAACCAGTTGAATTATCCATGTGTTTGACAGGTTTTGTACATATGTATGTATAATATATGATTATGTAAATTGTATATATGTATATATATATATATATGTATATATATCCGTACTTATATACATGGTAGCAGTGGCCTTTTGAGCCCCGAAGTTGACTTTTTTGGAGTCATCATCCTCCAGGTTGGGATTCCAAAAATCCCAGCAATCGAGGTATAAAAACCACTTTTGGGGATGGTGTATTATTGGGTTTACCCCATCAAGATTCAGAGAGTTTGAGGTGTGTTTTTTCCCTCAGACTTCGACACAGTTGCGTTTTATTTGTTTTTTTTGAGGTATCCATGGCGTTCTCACCGGATGCTGGTGGTTTTAAAGATCAACAGCGAGACGAGTCCTTTGAACTCAAAAAAAACCAATTTGTTGGATGGTTCAATACTCAAAACTCAATGAGTCTGTCTGAGTATGTAATGACCTTAAATCTGTGATGTCTTTGGCCTGGCCCCCCTGCTATAAAATGCTATAAAATGCTGTTGTCTCAACAAAAAGGGTGCCCCATGCCAAACTCCCTAGAAGGTGAGGCCCCCCAATTATAAGTTGCTTTACAAAGCCAGTTATAGTTATGAATACGATAAACATACTATAAATATCTATAAATACCCTAGTTATTCAATGTTATTCAAGCATCAATTATTCATCATGTTTAATAACTAGTTCGTTATATCTTCCATAAACCCAAGTTCACCAACATGTAAGTGCGTCAACTTAGCAGGGGTCTCACCTTGTGGCCGCACTTGGATAGTTCCTCAGTGGAAATGTCAGGGCCCTGTAGATGGTACACCACAATTTCCTCGTCCTTTCCACATTTTCCACGACGCGTCAACCAAATTTGCGGACCGGGCCAAGCTGTGTAGGGAATATTTGTTTGGCCAAGCAACAAGAAATCGATGGGGAACATCTGCAGGAAACCATGATTTTTACGAGTTTTTACCAGCTTTCTTGGAGGGGCGCTTCATGGCTTTTCCTCTAAATTGTCCAAAAAACTCTGGATGTACATGCCTGGCAAGCCACCCCCAAAAAAAACTGTGCATGTAACATAAATCATTGGAACTTCGAAAAACATCTTGCAGCCTTAGCACAACAAGACCGTATGAAAGTCACTTCAATCTCCGAATCATCCAAGATATTCTTCGAATCAACTCCAAGTCATATATATTTAGAAAATACTTTGAAGAAATATCTGGGCACATATGTCGTACATATCAACATATCATTCAAACAAAACTCATCTCGGTGGCACAAAGAGAAATCGGCCACCTTTGGAGATGCTGAAAATGCTGAAAACCTGGTCACTTGACCCAGCTGATATCATATCGTGTTTCAAGACAATCCGAAATTCATTCCTCAAGAAATCTCATAATTTTGGGTTAACTATGTTAAACATTGTTAAACTACTTGCAATTACAATGAACTGAGTGGACACATCAAAGCATCATACCGCGATCCACTTTTTTGGTTTGGCCATGGACTCTCCAGTGCCGCGCGGCGTCTGCGGCACTGCGACTCCGACTCCCCGCTCCTCACCGGGAAATGAAACTTGGAGGAGGCGCTTAAGCTGCGAAACGCAGCGAAGATTTGCGGTTTGTGGATGACCAACGGCTGATTTTGATTGGAAATCCCATGATGACTGGCGAATCTAAAATCTATATGGAATACGTTTTGATATTTTGAGAGCCCCTTAATCAAGCGAACCCCTTAATCAAGCAAATCCAAGTATTCTGAAGTGGTGAATGACTTAGAGATTTGTCTCTTTTTTTGGTTCAGCAAGTGTTGAATTCAGATGAATGCAGAGAAAAACTCAAGAACAAACAATTTAGATCTGTTTAGGTGTTCTTTGTGACCCTAACTAGTCATAGAGTCATAGTCATATTTGTTTGAAATCAGACACAATTATTTTCAGAATAGAGTTTATCAGTGGGATTACCTGCTTCCTGAATCAATGTTGCAGCCATCGCAGCCTTATTATAGGGATTTTTGCCTGCTGGGTCAAGCTTTCATCAACTTTGATCATTTCCAGCATCAGAAGCGGCTAATGTCCATCAATGTCGAGTGTTCTAATTGAGCACTTTCAAAAACGGCCGGTTGATGAATATTTCGGGGGTTACTAATCGCCCCTTGACACACACACACACACCAATACTTATTCTTTTGTATTCATTTGGGGATTTTCATGGTCCAAGAACTAGAAATCCTGATAAAACGACCACCATTCTTTTGGATTCTTTTGGCATTGCTCTTTCCCCATTTGGATTTTCCATGTCGGTTTTCCCAATAAACAAACACCTCCCTTCGGCAGGCAGTCTTCTCATTGGAGTTGCCAGCATGGGATAGCAGCCAGCCCCAGCGCACCTTGGAGCAAAGATCCCTTATTTTTTGATTCAATCTAATGATCTTGATATAGTCTTGATAGGTCCATGTGATTGTAGTCATCATTGATTCAATATATCAGAGATTAAATTATATGGAGATATCATGTAATATTGTATATTTATGTATGTAATAATATATATATATGTATGTATTATATTATATTGTATATATATATAGATATATTATATTATATATTTTATGCACTATGTAAAATGATTCTGCCTGTGATGGGCCAACATCTAGGGCCGCAGGGCTCTGCGTGGAAAAACACCTTTGGAGTTTTCAGTGCTACGCTACGTTACGCACTGCTACGAACGGCATTGGACGAGAACCATGAGAAAAACCAACAGGGTGGATATGTCCAGTAGCAATTCTGATATATATATATAGTTCTTATATGCACTGTAATAGCAAATGCATTAGATGAATATGAAATAATATGATCATATGTATATGTATATATATATATGTATATGTATATATATTATACGTGCATATACATGCATATATGGTCGATGATTCATGTACAAACACAACGAGCAATTTTTCCCTCACAAAAAAGTTTGTGAAGAAACTTTGAAATGTGTCAGAAAGATCATAACATGCATCACATATACACATGAACATGTCTGAGATGGAATGCACAGCGCCAACCTTCTCATTGTCCCAATCCGATATTTTTAACAGAGGAAACACAACAAATCTCACCCCCAGCAGGTCCCTTTTTTTCCTATACACCAAGGATAGTGGGGACCCATAGTGGAGGGCCATGCTACAACAAGAAATTTGGATTCGACCACCAAAACATAGGGATCTTATAGTCGTTAACATCCTTGATTTACATGAACAAAAAGTGCCTTAAGTTAGTTTACTACTCGTCGAACGATTGGATTTATATTTCAGTTAGAAGTTATAAGCTTAACCACCGTTTTTGCTGGAAAATCGACCATGTTTGCTGGACACTCCAGCGTTTTGCTGGAACAAACAGCCGATCTGTGGCCCCTTCCTTTCCGTTCAGGGAAGCCTACGTCCGCCTCTGCCGAACTTGTTGGGGATGTATTTGGCCAAGCCAGGCGGGCGACAGGATAGTTTCAGGGGAATCATCCCCAAAATTGGTTGATTTCAGGTTAGTGAAATATCGTAATTTACTCAGATATAAATGGATATATGATATGGATTGATATGGCATCCTTTTTACAAGAGTGCTAAACTATGGGTACCCCTTAAATCATTGGTTTTCCCATTGGTTTAACCATTGGGGGTACCCCAAATCATCTCATGGAAAAACCATGCCAGCAGTGAGTTGGATCCTGTAGGTCATCATCCACAGATTTCCACAGGGCATTGGGGGTCGTTTGCCCATGTTCAGAGCCATATAAAATAGTGGTACCCTCTGGTAAACTAACATAACAATGGAAAATCACAATTTTTCATAGGTAAATCGACCATAAATTGCCATACATGGCCATTTTCAATAGCTATGTTTGTTTACCAGAGGGTAAATCATGGTAAATCATCGCTCAATTTAACATCCAAACATGATCAAGCAACAAGAAATTGGAGATATTGAAGATCCACCGCACCCTTTGAGGATAGGTTTCAAGGTTTTTCAAACGATATTTGGTGTGGTGGTACCTGAAAATGTTGGGAACAACCCGAAAATCCCATGCTTTGACAAATTAATTGCCTGATACAAGTTGACATTTTGGGGGTATACCCCATTTTCAGACACGCACATTTTTCATCACTCCAGAAATGACTCAAACATATGCATGTAAGAAGAGTGACAATGTTTTTCAATTTATATACAAGTAGCACTATTTAGCTAAACAACGGCGGTTCATCAGGGTGTGTGTGTGTGTTGTATATGTTTTTCTATATCTATATATCAAATGTATTCAAATGTACAGTGTGTGTATGCGTATACATATATGTATAGATGTACATATATATATATATATATCATATATGGACCATATGGGCCAAATACATGCAGTAAACATTAAGTCAAATGGAATCATTTTACCAGACAGGATTTCTGAGTGAAACCAACAACCAGTTCTGTGATGGAAAACACTATGAAATCCACTTCGGCCGATCGTTTAATGTTCAGTAAGTGGTCGGCAGCCTATATAAATCACTACAGGATGGGGCCCCATAGTTAGCTAAGTTGGTTTGTAAATATACTAGCAAATACTAGCAATATCTAGCAATAGTGTATGATATTTAGAAATATGTTTAGGTGGGGTTATAAACCAACTTATAACTAGGGGGCCCCATCCTGTATATTGGAAAAAGTCTGGGGTGAACATCACATTTGAAAATGTCTATAAGCCAACCATTGCAATGCCAACTGAGTCCTGCCCAGCTTTGTTGACAAATCGTCATATCATGTAATATCAGTGGCTAGATGAAAGATTTCTTCAGGAACTATGCCGCATCCTTCAGAAACTAGCCATCTTCAGGACAGTTCAGGAACGAATAATCCCTGGCTCAGGAACATTTTGTAATATCCAGGAACTAACCCCTGGTCATGCCAGTTTCCTATTTTCAGCACTACTATACAGTTGCATGGCGTTGGTAATCTTTGTTTTTAAAGTTTTCCCGCTCACTGCCCTACAAAACAAGCGCACGACTCTGGTGGTAAGATTTATTAAAACTCCTTCCCCACGTGCCCTACAATAAAGTTGCACGACTGGTGAGATTGTTTTTAAAATTTTCTCACCCCCCCCTGCCCCAGTGCACGACTCCGGTGATTTTTTATTTAAATTCCATCCCACTGCCGAACAATACACTTGCACGACTCTAGTAACATGTAATTAAACATGCCCCCCTGCATAATTAGTTCGTTTATCCAGAACATGTTTTAGTTTCCGAAGAAAGGTTTTTTTAGTTCCCGAAGAACATGTTCCAGTTTCCGAATAAGATAGTTTCCGAAGAACACGCTTTAGTTGCTGAAGAACACTCTTTTGTTCCCGAGGAAAACATTTTAGTTCTTGAAGAAAACAACTACCCTGGCCATAGTCAATGTATTTATATGATTTTATAATATGTATTTATCATTATTTATCTGGGGACGGGTCAACGATTATTATACCATATTTTGGGGAATACCATCCATTCATCAGTTGTGAATTAGGGTACCATCCGGGTACTGCCTAGGGGACGCACAGAGGGATGTGAGTCCTTGTTCGCGTGTGTGGAAACTCAGAGTGCAGGGAGGCGTGAGCTGTGCTGAAGATGTCAGTCTTGTAGAGGTCTCAAAAAGAACCCTGGGGTAAACAGCAAAAGATGTGGAAAACCCATGACAAGCCATTCATGGTGGGTTTTCCACATCTATGTATAAACGGTTACAGGAGGCATATCCCATTCAATCCCATGTGGTACCCTCCGGAAATCAAACGTGCCTTGCTGGAAAATCCGACATATAGTTCGATGATTTTTCCATTTAGACCTCCATTTATTATTTATAACGGATTGTCCAGCCAGCCATGTTTGTTTTCCATTTGATTACACACACTTCTAAAGGTTGGGGACAAAATCCGCCTTGCTTTTCTCAGGCAAATTCACGTGGTCGCCGAGAGGGCGACTACTTGCGCTCGGCAGCCCAGAGGGTGAGCACCATGAATCCCCATAAGTTGGGATATAACCCCTATATCACCGGGGGTATCCGGTATCCATATATAACTAGGGTATTCTGTAATTAGTAATGTGGAGCTGCACCTCCAAGTATTGAATATGAATCCCATCTCATGGTGGTTGGGTGGATGTAAGTCCCCTACTTGGGACCATTAACAATTGGGGTGTGCAAAAAAGCGAACGGGGGATGGGATTAGTAAATGGGGAGCCAGTTGGAAGGATTCTTAGAGTTTCACAATCACATGATAGCAACCATTTTTGTTTTGTTGGTCTGAATATAGATCCCCCAAAAATTCAAAGGTGTTAAACGTAATTTCCCTCTCAACAAAGCAGTTTTGGTCTCTAGCTCATTTGGAGAGAGCCATTTTGATAAACGTTTGTGCAGGAGGGCTGTCTATCTTAGGTGATCTGATCAGTGTGCGTTGATTTCATCGCACTTTAAGGGCGGATTTGAGGGTGTATTGTGGTCAGCGTTCCCACCATTTTATTTATCCCCGGTGTTACAACTGCCTCCGCGCCATACCCTTCTCATTATAAATAATAGAACACAACATAATTTATTAGTTTTTTTTTTTGTACGGGACGGCTTTTTATGAAAATCATGTATGGATGGTAGATTTTGTACTTGGTTTTTGGTGCTGGAAATCAACGGCCACGTATTTTATAAATGAAAAAAGGCACCTTGATTTTCCAGTGGCATCTTCCATGGCCCCTGCGGTGCTGACTGTGCTTGAGGGGAATTCATGGCGTGCAGTTTATAGTGGTGTTTGTTGCAAGTCCCAAAAATGAACCATATCATTCATTCCATAGATTCAAAACGTAAAAGAAACACACATTGTGTCACATGTCATCGGGATATTTTCAGCTTTGAACGATTTGACCTTCCATAAAACCCTTTATAGTGTTGATATATAATTTTTGTGGGTACTGCATTTAATAATATAATATAATATATACACACGCCTATTGTTTTTTTATGTACTGCCTTGGGGTGGGGACACACCAAAGCCCAGGAAACATGAGGATTCGACATGTTTCGACTCTCAAGTTGACCCCACTGCCGTGGTTGAACCACGTTGAATGCTGCTTCTTCCATCCAGCACCATGCGCTGGTCTCATCAAGTCAGGCCTTCCCTTGAAACCACGAAAAAACTCCCTGAATTGGAGGATATTTCATGGTAAAGATTTAGTAAAGACCATGGTTTCTGGTTTAAAAAAACATAAATCAAACGAACAATTTGTGAGATCAAAACCTTGCCGCGACAGGTGGTGATGGTGATTCCATCATGGGTGAAGTACAGGCACCGAAAAGTCGGGAAGGATGCGCAGAGTCCCCATGATGAACCACTGGAAATGTAGACCGAAATGATGAGTTGAGGTCATACCATCGGGTAAATAAACATAGCTATTGAAAATGGTGATTTTCCATAGTTATGTTAGTTTACCAGAGGGTACCTCCAGTAACTGTATATATATATATACCTGGATCTTCGAAAGGACACAAATAATTGTCCGTTTGCAAGATTTCTGCTCTTAGGGCGGATTTCTTGTGAAGGAGCTGGAAATTGTCATTTTTTTACTACTGTTGTCAATTTTGGATTTCGTACCTTTTGGGCTGATCTTACTCTACTTTGCGTAAAAATGTGTCGATTTTTCTGGGCGAAAATTCCCAAGAAAAGGGCGGAAATACCCGGGCAGATTCATCATAACTCAAAAATGAAAACATGAAGTGGTAAGTTTTGTCTTGAAATGGTCATTTCTATTTTGAAATGGGCAAATCTGCAGAAAATGGACAGAAATCAAACCAAAATCTGCCCTGGAAAGAAATTTGCAACCAATGAATACCCAGGTATATATATATATATCTCTCTCTCTATGTTCTTCTATATAACAACCATAACTGATTTACGGAAATATAATGAAAATTAATGATATATATTATATAATATATATTATATATACATAATATGTTTTTTGTCCACCAGGACATAGAGTCTCTTCGACGTGGGATCGTGATTATATGTGCAATCAATGTATATAATTATATTATGTATACTATTATATACTTATATTATGTGTATAATATATGTGTATGTATATATATGTGATAATATATGTATGTACTTGAAACGGTCCCTCAACAATAATGTTCATCCCTTCATTTGTTCTTGGAGAAGAAACCGTTTCGGCTCCGTTGGTTTCGGCTTCAGGACCGCATTCGTGAGATGGAGGCGCGCATGGCCCTCGATGTGGAAAGCGACACCCATGAGGGCGCGTGACTTGGCATCTGGGAAAAAAAGCAAAAAAAACCTGGAGAAAAATGGTGATTCAATGTTGAATTATTCAAAGGGATCAAATGATGATTTAATCCCATGACGGATCCATGTATGGTATATATATGCTAATATTTGGGGTATATTGATGGTAAATGTTACCATATATAGCATACATGGATCCTATGGGAATGGAATATACCTTGGGGTAAACTTCGGAAAAAAATGTGGAAAGCCCATGGTTTTCATGGTTTTCCTAAAATGACCTACAGATAGCGGGTTTTCCATATGTCAGTTTAAAGGATGGTAGTACCCCCACAAAGAGATAGAACAGGTTCAATTTGTATACCACTCTTCTCGCATTTGTTCCTATGTTTTTTTTGGTGCTTTAACAAGTGAAACAATGTGACCTTCACTTCGAAATCAGTGTTTGGCGCCAGGGTGCATCCCAGAAAGTGCTTTGCACGCCCTTTTTCTAACTGGTATCCAATACATAACTGGAGTGTTAACCTATAATTAGTTATATATATATATGTTACTTAAGTATATTAACCTATAATTTTAGTTAGTATTTTTACCTATTAACCTATACTAATAACATGGTTAGTCATGAGTTATATTAGTCCATCTCGATGAGACCGATGATCCCACAGGGCCATCCCAGGCTGCGATACGGAATGCGGAATGCGTAGCGTAGCGAAAATCATCCGGCCAAGAGATTCTTTAAAAGAGGCTGCAGGGAAACAAAGCCCTTAAACAATTCTATAGTAATAATATGCTAATAGTAATTATATATCTAGAGTAATTATAGCTATAGAATATTTATATATAGTAATTATAGCTAATAGTACATACTATAATTACTATAATTACTATAAATATTCTATAAATATTCTATAAATAGTCTATAGATGTGCATACTATAATTAATATATATATATATATAATATCAGTAATTTCATGTGTACATATTTCCCTACTCAAAGCTCACATAGACCATGGATGCCATACATGAGCTAAGTAGCTTCCACTTCGGTAATTTAGTAATGACTTTCCATGACTTCCCCTTAATATCAAGGAGTCAAGGCATAGTCCCATGTGTGGGATGGAACGGGTTGTACCAAGCAATACCAAGCATGAACAATTGGTTTATGTATGCTCTTATATGTACCCTCTGGTAAACAGCCACATAACTATTGAAAATCACCATTGTTAATAGGTAAATCAACCATTTCTATGGCCATTTTCAATAGCTTTGTTGAATTACCAGAGGGTATATACATTGTATTATGTCACGCTTCACCTTTTAAGGATGATGTTCAAAATCGAAAAGAAAAACATATCAATCCATATCTTCAGCATCTTTAAAGCATATATATATATATACATAGATATATCTTTCTATATTTTAATAGATTCTCTCTCTCTCTATATATATATATTTCTATAGGGGATTATGGTTACATATCCCATAGGATCCATGTATGCTATATATGGTAACATTTACCATCAATATACCCCAAATATTAGCATATATACCATACATGGATCGGGTATGGTTACTCGGTTCCACGGTCAATTTTAGGGATTCGATGGGAACATGGCCCCATCATTCGCCCCATCATCAACTGAAGTCAACTTGGACCGATACTCCAGGGTCATGGCACATGTTCGAACGAATCGCACCAATCCATCAGGCTCCAGGGGCAACAGGGGCGTTGCAGGGGAGCGTTGAAGTTCTGGATTGATTCATAGAATTGGATGATGGGAAAATTTGCAGGAAAGCCCTATATTTGATGGTAAAAACCATGGTTTCCTGTAGATTTTCCCTTAAACCAATCCATTGATGTTTTTTTTTGCATCGAGCATGAAATGAACAGTGAATTTATCAGAGGAAATTCATGGAAATTTTCTATGGAAATCAAGTGTTTCATGAGGATTTCTCACCGCTCTTGGGGTAAAAACCCTGGGGTTTATTCTGCTCCACAAAGATGTGCAGCCATGAAAATCCCATGACTTTGCTTCAGAAAAGGATCTACATTCATGGTGGATCTTCCACATCTATGTACACGTTTACTCGAAGGTATGAAATGAAAACTAAAGTTATATTTTGGATATCGTATCACTGGTTTTTTCAACAGGCTTAGCCAATTTAACTGCAGATTTTTTAAGTTGTCAAAGTAAACCATGGTTCATAGTGGTTAGTAATGGTTTTTCTAATGGTTATTTAATGGTTGTCTACAATGACTAATAGTGGTTATTTAATGGTTAATAAGTGGTAAATATAACCTTTTTGTTGATTTTCCCCATTCGTTACTGGGATTCATTCCAGTTAAGGATCCGTGGATTCCCCTAGAAAACGATTCCGATGAAGCACCAAGTACAGTACCATCGGTTGGAACCTCGGAATAGACAATATGTGCATCAACCAATGGTTTTTAAATCGCGGGATATTGCTGTATATCCTTTGGAGAATCTCATGGGAATATCGTTTCCATTGTTTTCCCCTTCTTGGAGGGCCAAGTTATGCAGATCGAACACTGATAATTATTGGGTCACAATTTGATGGTTGGGGGTTCTGGGAATGGACATTGTCGAAGACTATGGTATGAATGCAATTTAAGATTATTTAAGGGTCAGCCGCAGCGTTTAAGGTCTGACCCTTGTTAGTCATCTTCCTGTTTAGCGACACAGCATCCATCTAACATGTCTCATTGGTTCTTTCAATCAGACTAATGCCTTTTTTTGTTTGAAATCCTACTTGTTTTTTTTTCCCCATAAATGTGGTTTTTGTTTTTTCTAATGATATATGGTTTGATATATATATATATCAACGGTTGACTTTACGTGATGTTACAATGCAAATACATTTCTGTGGATAAATTTGATCACGACCTCACGTTGCGACGTCACTGGAATGATGGGGATAGGAACCTACCAAAATTCAGGAATATACCCTCTGGTAAACAGCCACATAACTATGGAAAATCACCATTTTCAATGGGTAAATCAACTATAAATGGCCATTTTCAATAGCTATGTTAGTTTACTAGAGGGTAATGGAATCTGACCAACAATAGTTTGGTGTGTCAACTTGTCGCAGTAGTGTGAAAGTCATAGTCATAGATAATCATCCCAAGTGAGTAGGGGGAAAGAATGTTGAACATTTACCCTGATTGGTTTATTTGCCACCGTCCCCGTTCAACCTGCAGGGGTGACTGGTATAGCAGCCTCTGGATGGACTGAAGATAGCCAAGGCATTTGTGGGGCAGCGATTGGAAAAGGTTGTTCTTACCAAAGATTCCGGATATCACGAAATATTTGGAAATTGTCTGAGCAGCAAGAATTTGAGGAGAAAAAAGAAGTTTGGACGCATTGAACTCAGCAAAATGGTGGTACTTCAAGTACTTCCCAAGAATCCGGAACATGATCAATGATCAATGATCAATTATCAAACTAATGCTAGTAAAGCAACAAAATAAAGCACCCAGATGGGTTGATGGTTTATACCAGCCATGGTAAAATTGGGGGACGGTGGATCCAAATCCCGATGGCTGATCATTGTCTCGGGGTACCACGACTGGGGGCTATCCAGTTCGCCATGGAAAATCCCAACCAGAAATGGAGGTTTATTTCGCTGGGAAATCATCTATTTCTATAAATGGGCCATCGAAATCCCATGGCTATGTTAAATAACAAGAGGGTACCCCAAAATGCCAGCATCACTTGAGGTTTGCAGCTATGATTTCAATGAGTTCATGGCATTTGGATTGAAGTGTCTTATCGTTTGTCTTCGGAGTGCCTCTTTTTGGCACAACCCTAGTCTGCCATACTTGAGGAGTTTGACAATCTGGTTAGTTGCCAATGACACCAGGTTTTTTTCAAGATTTCTTGTTTCAATGTCAAACAATATTGTTTTTACTGTACATGTTTTTACTAAATTGGCTTTTCCTTTTACTGCATGGGTTTGATATGCCCTGTGGCCAGATGGGTGCCCCAAAATCCACTTTAACCAGTAATCATTTCCCATATCAAAATTGACATTTGACATACCACGGGAAGGGCCCCCGCTTAAGTGGGGTTCATAGTGGGTACCTATGGTTTGATAATGTTTGATGTTCTAAAGACCGACTTAAGAACTATATACTCGTATAAATAGAATTCTACGTCACTAAATCCACATAATCACCATATGTTTGACCCTGTAAATCCACATCATCCGCATATGTTTGACTAATTTGACTGCTTAAGTCACCATTTTCACCAGTATCAGGATTTTCACCTGCCTCAAAAGGTGAGGAGAAGAAACCGAGGCCGAAACGTTGCCGAGTTCCTTGGCCGAGTTAGTGGCTGGCAGGGTTGGAGATGCTGTGTATCATCTGTGTATAACAATCTATACATCCCCAATTGGATGGGTAGAAACTATACATCCTTTCGTTTTTTGGAACATCAATGGAAAATCATCAGCCAACCAGCAAAAGAGTATTTTATTTGTGGACTATCAAAGATTGACCATGTAACAGTCTATAACACATCTAGACAAATGTAGCTATATCAGATGATATCAGATGTATACCTATATCATATACATATAATGATAATATGTATATATATAATTATATGTACAGTACATACTACATAAGTGTATGAATAAGGAATATGTGCATAATATGTGCATAATATGTGCATAATATGTGCATAATATGTGCATATATGTATGGTGATGTATCTTGTATATGTATATACATATGTATATATATATACATAGGATACATACAATTTAGAGAGGGAGAGAGAGATAAAACGTATAAAACTAAGATTGGTACATTATATATATACATACAATAAGGAGTCGCCGAGAAGAAACCACAATCACATCACTGTCAAAGAGTTTCATGGTACCAGTGGTTTAGGGTTTTCCGCTAGAAGATTCCATTGGACAAGAGAAATGACCCCTTTAACTGAGAAGCAAAGCAAGCTGATGAGAAGTGCCAGTGAGTGGAATCGCCACTACCTTCCAAGTTGCACATCTGGAAAGTACAAAAAAAAAATGTAGAATAGATCGTGATTGTACCACAAATTGAATTTTTAGCACTTCAGGGATTGCATGTGTTTGCCATGCCTCCCGGAAGTTAGACTTGTAGCCGGGGATCAACACATCATGAATTTCTAGTGTGGGATGCACTGGTCTCAGGATGTCTCAGGGTGGCCATGGGGATAGATCAAGACCTACCAACAATCCCAGGTATTTTGGGCACCAGGGCGCCACATCATCCACTTTCCAACTTGGTCACTTTGCCCCAATTTGCCCCCTCCGAGATTCCTTTCCGTCCGGCTATCATCATGACTGTAGCCTTCGGCGCTTTATTGACCTGCGTCTTGATGCCACTTGGACGGACGGGACGGATGGAGCATGCAGGAAGAAGCAACATTTGGTGCAGGTATATATGTGCTGCGTTCCATTCAAAATTCTTATTATCTCAGCAAAAACAATCAAAAACAGGTGACATGTTTTTTTTTTATGTGTACAAAAAAAAACACGATATCTACAATGACTCGACAAGAAATTTCTGCATAACTCGTCAAGATACCAAGAAATTGCCACCCAGTTGGACCCTGTTGTCAGAGTTTCCATGTCCAGCGAAACAAACCCGCCGTTTTCGCAACAGGTTTTTGCCGTTGTATGAATTCACCACCCAGCTTCAAACCAAGACCGCTGAGAACCTTGGCAAAATGAGGGCGCGGAGTCCGCGCGGAGGGCATGGAGGGTGACCTGGATGCGCCCAAGAATTGAGGAAGTGCCGACCGAAAAGAGACCCTAAATTTGCCATGTTTATTAGGGAGAAGACAATGATGATCATCATTTTTTGAATTGGGGTACCCCATTTTCAGACACAGGAAAGTTGCTGATTGTCAGATGGAGGATGGATGACCAACGGCCATTCACCAGGAAAGTTCCCATCTCCCAAGTCTCCACCCAAGAGGTCACATGTTGACATGAAAAACGAGGCCGGTTGCAATGGAAGTCACAAGGTGTTGCCCCAGTGATGCTGCTTTAGAACCCAACTTTAGCTCCGTTAAGCAAGTTAAACAGTTCACAGACAGGTCAAAGATGGACCGATGGAGTAAAGCCCGTCTCAGCAACTACGGCTCAGCAACCAACCCTACTCTCGCTTCAGCAACCACGGCTCAGCAACCACGGCTTAGCAACCAACCCTATTCTCGCTTCAGCAACCACGGCTTAGCAACCAACCCTATTCTCGCTTCAGCAACCACGGCTTAGCAACCAACCCTATTCTCGCTTCAGCAACCACGGCTCAGCAACCACGGGGGACGGGTATGACTGGAAGTCATATTTTATAATATAAGTCATAGAATCCGAGAAATGATGGCCATGCAATCCAAGAAGCGATAGATATTATGCCATAAACCCCCATACATGATGGGTATTCAGCTGTTAAATCTCATAGGTGAGAAGTATTAAGCCAAAAATCCACCAACTTATGGATAGCCACAAAATCCCGCTAAGGGGTATATCATCCCTAGAAAAATCCCACAGCTTTGTAGCTCCCAAAAAACCGACAACAAAAATCCCCACCGGGTTTCCCCACGGTTTTCTCAGATCCGGCCGCCTTCGATGCCACACGGAGGAGTTTTGGCAAATCGGTGAATCGTCAGTTCGGCCTGATTGAAGAACTGACCTCCCGTGCCGCCACCGCGTCACACCGAGCCTCGGCTCCGACGAAAGGGAGGTGGTTTTGGAAGGGGCTGTAAGCTATAGAGCCATATGGTAGAGCCATTATAGTTGAGGGTTAGTTGAGTTATTCGTGGGGTATATCATGATCATATCGATGATATCCGACTGTCACCACTTGGCTGTGGCCCATCGCAGTCTTCCAATCACCAATTCATTGTAGAGTCTATTTATTCGTGGTAATAATGGGGCTGTAATTATTTGAGTTTTAGCACCTGCACATTGGACCATTTTGGGATTGCACTATCAATTGTTGGTGTGCATCCAATGCAAAGAGTGAGTTTCTACCAGCAGAAAACATGGTCTTTAAGCAAGAGACATGGTTGGTAATTTTGCCATAATTATCCAGTAAGACTGGGCACACAACCAACAAACAGCTGTTTTGTGCATCACCTCATGTCCATTCTGACCATTCA